GCTATGGCCTATACTGTGGCTGGAAGAGGAGGGTTATATCCCAGGCCGCTTCTTGCGAGGGGGCAATTTGGCTTACAACATGGAGAAGAAGATCCCAGAGATTGAAGGGCAGTGATAGACCTATATCTCTATCTTCACGTGGAAATCGTTGACTACAGTACTCTTTGTCTGCTTTCGTATCAAACACTTCTTGGCAATTGTCTTCCAGACCATAACCACCAACAAAGCATCTCGTTCACCTTATGATGACCCTCTTCGCTTCCACTTATCACACACATCCTTCATCACGGCATTGGCCAAATTTCATAGAAAACCCAGTTCAGTGAGCTTTCTTTGACTTGCGTTGTTTCTTTAGCCCCCTGCGGAACGAGTTTTCTTGTTCCACAAATTTCAAGGGTAGGCCTCGACCAATGCCAAAGAACACAAACAAAGCCCACTTCCAACGGAACGGGTTGACAACAAGGACGAAGAAGTACCAGTAGATCAGTTCAGCATACGTAAAGAAGTCAAATGCTGCTGTGGGTGCCAGACACTTCATGAACCTGGTGAAGTCAATCCAGGTCTTCATCCACCCCTCAGTAGGTCTGGTCAATGGATCGGTCAAGAACATGAGCAGGAATCGCGTGTAGATTCCAATGTGCATATTGCCTACTGTACCAATCGCGTCGACGTAGGTGCTGTTGTTTGCGCATATATCCGGGTACTTGGGTGGGAAGACTTGAAGATACCAACTGGGTGGTCCGTAAGGTTCATCGAAACACTCATCGGGCAAAAAGGTCAATGAAGGCCGTTTAAACCCAGTAGCCATGACGATGATATCTCCTTCGACCAGTCGCTCGTGGCCCAGCCCCCCTTTGGGGACGCCTTTAGATCGATAATTAAACACCACACCCTTTTCTTCCACAGAAACGATATCACCTCGCAACCAGTGGGCTTTGCCCTCGCGTATCTGGTAAAATAACTCGTCATTGGCCATCGGAGTTCCGGTAAAGATCCCCTTGTCTGTTGGCGCAATGTCTTGAAGATCACGATAGAAAAATTTGCGCAGGAACCATTCGGGAATCCACGAAAGTGATGTTTCCTGGCCGAAGATATTGCTCGCTAGCAGTGACTGAACGAGGATATTTCGAGGAATAATCCATTTATCGGACCGAGAAAGAACATCAATCTCAGCAGCCTCATTTTTGACAGCGAACTCCAAGGCCTCGATGGCGCTGGCACCTCCTCCCACAATGAGTACCTTTTTGCCTGTGGCATTTTTGCCATCTAACTCAGAGGAGTGGTAGATTTGGCCCTTGAACTTTTCCTGGTTGGGCAGTGGTGGCATTTTAGGATCTCCGCACACGCCTACTGTGGCCAAGATGCCATCAAAGCGGCCATACTTCTCCTCGTCATTATTGATAATCCACTGGCCTTTCTTGGTCTTTTTCACGGACGTGACTTTAGTATCAAATGTAGTGCGTCTTTCCAGGTCGTATCTCTTCCAGACATCGACGATTTGCTCTTTGATCTGTTGCTGGGTGGGATATGCGCTGTCGAACTGGACTGAAGGATGGAAACGGTACATGACACTGTGGACTTGCAATGCGGAGGTAGAATTGACTCTCTACAAAGGCATTAGCAGGAATTTTGATTTCACTGAAAAGTTAAGTAGAACTCACACTCCAGATGCCTCCCAGTCCGTGTTCTCTAGATCTGGATTCAAACAATTGAACGTCGAAGCCATTGCCAACACAGTGTGCAGCCGAGGAAACACCAGTCAGGCCTGCACCAATGACTGCAACTCTCTTTTGAGGCAGATTTGCATTTCGAGCGGCAGGGGGTGGGGGTATAGGAGAAAATATGTAAACCAACACGGCTTGCATAGCCATGTAGAGCCAGGTAAAGGTCTCTACGAATGGATGCCGGATGAACGCCGAGAGCGCCGAGACAAAAGACTCAAACCCCATGGTGTTGTGCGTGAAGATTGAGGACAATTGAGAAACAGAACGAGGAAGCAAAACATTTGTACTTCCAGTGCTGTGACGTTATGACGTTGTGCCTTCTGTTACATGTGATGGTCCAATATGACATCATATAGAAGTGAACCTGGATTTTTTTTTGGCAAAAGAGGATCAAGACATATATTTAATATCTCCCTAAGTAGAGACATGAACCCTTTAATATGATATAGGAACAGTGTATGTTTTTACTTGATTTCTTCTCTATCAAAGTCTCCGCGCACGGAAAATGTCATGTGAAAGTGGCGTACCTGACCCATTTCACCAAAATCGACCAGCTTTGACAAGATTTGTCTAAAGCAATCCAAAACCTGGTAATCAATAGGGTGTCTGTAATTCTAAAATTAAAGGGATTGAGCCCGCAATGATCTGAGTGTGGGAATTTGAAGGGAATTAAAGTGAGAGTTACTCCGTAGTCGAACTATAGCTGACAAGTAGGCATTGACCTATTTAAAGTAAATGAGAACCACTGTTGTAAACCATCTGATCAAATCTCATTGAAATGCTCCAGGACTTGGCACACTTGAATACAATTGGAAAATGTTGAAACAACTCCCCTCACTGGACTTTCGTAGATGGTTGTGTACAAAAAATGGCGGTCACGGGTTCTGCCATCAATGTCATCAATAGATGAGCCTCTTGACTCTGCAACCTTCCAGGATTTGGTTTCTTTGACCGTTGAAAATCTTCCACTGACAATGATCGTGCAATCAAACTAATTCTTCTGGTGCGACTCTACCAGTCAACCTAGCAGTTCGCTCTTTCAACATGGGTCAAACCCCCGTCCTCGACCAATTCCTCGGCAGTTTGCAGGAATTGGTTCAAAAGCGCGATGGTGCTAAAGTTCAGGACTTTCTTCAGCTCGAGCCGCCGCTCTCTGACATTTACCAGCGCATGATCAGTGAATTGCGAGACCACTATACCCTGGGTCCCAAAACTGACAACGAACTTCTCCAACGATGCGAGCCTCTCGTACCGCGATCCAAGGGCTCATGGACGGCGTTCCCAACTTTCGTCAAGCTCTACCTGACCTTCCTACGCGACATGAACACCGATAACCTATTGGAAACATACAATCAATTGAAGGCGCTGCTCAAGTAAGTTTTGCTGCCCTCGAGGAGAATTTTGAATGCACTTTGTGATGAGGATGCTACTCATATCTTCGAGCTTGAAAGCTGACTCAACCTTCTCCTCAACTGCAGTCAATGTGTGCTCGCCCTCGGAGATAGTCAAATGGGTATCGTAGTTCTTCCTACTGTTCTCTACTTGTCCAAAGTTCTGGCAAAATTGGCAATGGGTCTTGATCGTCGACCGGACCTGATTGCGCATATTCGACGAATGGAAGGTCTGGCGGATCAGGACGAGAGCATTGAGAAGGTGACTTTGGTGGAAAAATCGGCCAACGTAGTGCGCGAAGCCTTCATCAAGTGCCTCACTGATCGCACCGGCACCCCCGGCCCCTCTGGTAAGCCGGAGGGCAAGCGCATCGGTATCTATCTCATGGCTAATCTCTGCCTCAAACTGCTATTCCAGGTATTGAGAGCTATCCCGGACTATCTTGCCCTCATTCAAAGCTTGGTGCTAACGGCACACAGTGCGGTAAACTACGCAACGCCGAGCAGATGTTTGCAAGCATTAGCGCCCAATCACCCCCTTTGGCCTACTTCCCAGCCTCACAGCGTGTCACCTACCTCTACTACCTCGGGCGATACCTTTTCGCCAATAACCTCTTCTTCCCCGCCCGCATCGCTTTGCAGGCCGCCTATGACCAATGTCACCGCCAGGCCGTAAGCCAACGACGCTTGATCCTCTCATACCTCATTCCGTGCAACATTATCTTGGGTCGATTTCCATCTCAGGCACTCCTCCAACGACCAGAAGCACAAGGATTAGCAGTACACTTTCAGCCATTGTGTCGATTGATTGTCAGAGGAGATTACCTGGCTTTCCGACAACATCTCTTCTTGGGCTCGCCGACCGCCCAATGGTTTGCATGTAAAGGAATTCTGTTTACCCTCCGAAATCGATGTGAGATTCTCGTGTGGCGATCTTTTGCACGCAAGGTTTTCATGTATGGAGGTTCTTATGGAGGCCCGCAGGCGCAGGCGCAGAAGGGACCTCCACCAGTCCTCAACCTTAAAAAGCTCGTTATGGCTATACGATGGTTACAGACACAGCACGCATTATCCAGAAATGGCACGGCCAGTGCTGTGGTGACACCCAACCTTTATGGATCACAAGTCGTTTCCGAACCTCCAGATATCGACTACGCTCGCCTGGATGGGGCAAATGGAAAAGCCAGCCCCGCCACCGATCAAGAAACACTACGAAAATATGGAGATTTTTTAGCCCCGGATGGGTTCTTTACCGAAGAAGGGCGATTACAGTCTAATGTACCGGGTCTATTGGTAGATGGAGACCCAGAAGAGAATTATGGCGACTTCGAACTGGATCCATATGCGTACAATCTTGACGACAGAACAGAAGCAGGGATATCCATGATGCAAGAGATAGAATCGATTTTCGCGTCCTTGATTACACAAGGGCTGATGGGCGGTTACCTTCTCCATCGTGAGCCTCGATTCGCGGTTCCCGGTGCCAAAATCAAAGGCATCTTGCCAACAGGATTCCCCAACGTTTGGCAGACCATCTCTGCCCGTGAAAGTCATGATTCCAGTGTTCCCGGTTGGGTACAGCCTCGGGCGCCTACAGCTGGATCAACTGGAGGTGGTAGGGTAGTCAATCTCACCGGAGCACGCCCAGTTGGCCTACAATAAGACTGGGGTTTTTTTTTACATTTCCTCTTTAATTTCGTCTTTTCTTTCATGTTGATGATACCGATACTGTAGTTCTGAATTGATTTCATACAATACTGCATATAGTCAGCTTGAAATTCGGAGACCTCGGGATATTCTCCTCACTCTCCTCATTTCATTTTTTCCTCACTGCTCTTGTATATTACCTTCTGGCTGTTGGTCATATTTCCTTTTTCTTCCTACAATGGATCATACTGCAGCCGTGAAAGAAATATCAGAACGGGTTGCCGACTTCCACAGTCGCCAGCAACCGTTTCGTATACATCATGGTGCCACCAACAGCACTCGACCCTCCAACCGATCGCTCTCCAATACGGTCAGCACAGAGCCTCCCACCCGCATCCTCGAGATCGACGTCAACCGATGTACAGCTATAGTCGAGCCTAATGTCTCTATGGGTGCTCTGGTGGCTGCCACAAAGGCCCATGGCTTGGTCCCTTTGGTGGTTGTCGAGTTCCCAACCATCTCGGTTGGTGGCGGATTCAGGAACATCAGGGGAGAGTAGCTTTTTCCGTGAAGGATTCTTCGATCATACAGTCAATTGGATCGAAGTGGTCCTGGCAGATGGTCAGGTGGTAAAGGCATGCAACGACCGCGTCGAAACCAGTTCGGAACTGGCGGACAAACATTCGGACTTGTTCTGGGGCACTGCGTCTTCCTTTGGCACCTTGGGAGTGGTCACCCTATTGGAAATTCAATTGAAAAAGTCACAGCCATTGGTGGAACTGAAATACTACGTCACTTCCAACATGAAGGATGCGGTGCGCACCTTTGAAGAGGCTAGCGCTGATCCAAGCACTGAGTATCTGGACGGTATAGTCTATGCACGGGACAAAATCGTTGTTTGTGCTGGAAGACAAATCGAAACAACTTCTAGTATGAAGCTTTGACACTTCACTCGCCGACAAGATGATTGGTTCTATTTGCACGTCGAACGAATTTCTCAATCCAAGATCAACATCTCCGACCGAGAGAGTTCACCTCACATACCAGATGCAGTGGACTACATTCCTCTCACTGACTATCTTTTCCGTTATGATCGAGGTGGTTTCTGGGTTGCCCGTTATGCTTTTCACTACTTCTGTGTTCCATTCACCTTCTTTACCCGCTGGCTTCTCAACCGATTTATGCACACCCAGGTCATGTATCACGCCCTACACGTCAGCGGGCTTGCGCGTCGATGTATCATCCAAGATGTCGGTGTACCAACATCCACTGCTGCCGAGTTTCTGGACTGGCTGGACCACCCTGAAAACTTTGGACAATATCCGCTTTGGCTCTGTCCGCTACTACCAGGAAGTGCCGGAGGGTTGGAAGGAGCGTCGACTGATGACGCCAAGGGAGTCAATGTGGATATACACAGAGGACCCAACTCCTCAATTTTGGAATCTGGGGGCCTGCTGCTACCACGGATCAGGCCGGATTCGTGGCTCAAAATCGACAGCTTGAACACAAAGTTCACAATCTAGGTGGGAAGAAATGGCTACATGCACATACTTACTATACAGAAGACGAGTTTTGGAACATCTACAACAAGCTGGGTTATGGTTCTCTACGGGCAAAGTACCATGCACAGCATCTTCCATCGCTGTATGAGAAGGTCCGAATGCGCGAATCCGATCTCCCTAGTCCGCACCGGGGAGAGTTCGAGAGTGGGTGGAAGGGATCGGTAAAGCGTGCTCTTTGGGACGTCTGGCCATTTTGCGGTCTTTATGGGGTTTACAAGGCCTGGAGAGGAGGAGACTATCTATTGCAAAAAGAGATTCTCAAGAAGAAGACCGATTGAATAGGATAGCTCGAAAACATTGAGGGTATTGATGCATTACGTCCTGCCAGAAAAATCAGGCCATACAGCGCAGATGCATGATGCAAAATTGAACAGCAACCATGGCTAAGCTTAAGAGGACAAGAAAATTCCCGACACTAGAAGAAAATGGAAGAAGAACCCAAAAGAGAAGCTATTCGAAAGAAAAAAAAACCGAAGCAAAGAGCATGCCTACTCTACCACAATGCGTCCTTCCAGTCGAGGAGAGATTCCCGACGTCCAGGCCGGAGTGAATTCCCCTTCGCCGTCCATAGTATTCAACGTTCTGCTCTGCAGACCGGCGTGCCGCATCCACTTTCGGACAACTCGCCGTGCAATTTGTAGACGATACTCCTCTTCAGCGGATGATTTTGCTGGCTGAGTGACGTAATTTGTGATTGGTCGCGAGGATGTGAGGATGTCTGGATCTTCATCTGAGTCGGAGTCCATGACATTGCTATTCGTCTCGCTTCCGGTGGTACCGTCGGTGCCCTGTTCGACTTCTTCGGGAAATCGACCATAATAGTATGCTGCCCGGGCTTTCCGTCGGACACTAGGCTGCGTGTTCGGTTTTTCGTCTGCTTTTTTCTCGGTTTTGGGAGACGCCGGTTTCAGCCAGCCTTCACCATGCAGATGGCGATGTACAGTGCCCCAGTGTCGGCCCAAGCTGGCGCTCCACCGGTTCCATTTCCCGAGTACTTTGAGACTTAAGAAATACTGCCGTAGGATTGTACTGATGAGCACACCGTTTTCCTCAGATACAAGCTCCTCCACATCACCACCTTCGGCCTGGATAAGCAATGACGTAAACCCGTCTTTCCCCCGGGCCATGTAGCCGCGTGTGGCAAGAAGATAGTCACGCTGTAAATCAATGGGCTCGCCACCAACACGAACGAATGTAATGCGGGACCCCGACGGTGCATCCAGTTTAAACCCGTAGTTGATATTAGATACTTGCGAGAATCGGCCCTCGAGCGCAGGAAGCTGACTAACCCCATTCTCGAGAGCAGCCAGCAATGCATGACCACGAACGCGCAACAAAACCACGGGGTCTTCGAAAGGGAAGCAGTTGAGCAGATCCTTCAGCTTCAGTATCCCCGGCGGGTAGATCTGATCGCCACGGATTGTACCGCCGGCCATCATGGCACAATCAGCCGCATAATAGAAGCGCATCAGGTCACAGACAAAATTACCCAAGTTAGATTCACGCTGCCGCACAGTGGAGAACCGGCCATCAAGCGGGCTGACTGTAAATCCGATTGGCTTGTCTAGCTTGGCCTTGAGGCTGGAAGTAAGCCGGGCTACCATTCCCACTGTATCAGGATCTTCGGGAATTGAGCGAACGACATCTCGCCGCACAATGTTAAAATCCCAACCAGGCAAACCGTCAGGTTTGCGGAAAGCTTCGATGTAACTCAACTGTTTAAAGTCAGTTCCTGACCGCATGACATGGATTCCGTTGACAACAGCGTGGGCATAGAAGTGATCATGGCCTCCGAGAATGATATCCACGAGGTCGGGTGATAGGTTATTGGCTAGCTTGTAGTCATTCGGTTCACGTTGGTGGGTGACAGCAACAACGAGGTCTGCTCCCTCATCTCGAAGCTGTTTCGCAAGCACCTGTGCTGTTTGAGATGCGGATTTATAGATCAGATCAGGCGGAAGAGAGTTTATTGTGCCGAGCCTAAGGTAGCGTAAGCAACGAATTAAAATCATCAGAATAGGCATTTCAGGAGCGCATACCATTCTCTTTCTCCAAGACCTAATACACCAATCTTGAGCCCATTAGACGAGGTCAACATGCGAGACTTTCCGCAGTCAGCTATTGGGGTTTCCTCTCCTAATGCCGGGTCAAGAACGTTCGCTAAAAGCCAAGGAAAATGACATTGGCTGGCCAAATGGCGGAATTGGACGACTCCAAAATCAAGATCATGATTCTAGATACCTAGATTAGCGGTGTACGTTTGGCTGGAGGATAGCTGGTTGCCATACTCACACCCACACACGCTACATCGGTGCCCACTGTGTTGAGGAATGGTACCATATGCCTGCCCTTTGTAACTGTACTTTCGATACTCGGGTTGAAAGCATCGCCGGAGAAGAAGGTCAGGATGTCAGGCTGCCCGGCGAACTGCGGGTGATAACGGTAGTGATTAACAAGGGATTGGAACCGAGACATCCCGCCGACAGGCTCTGCAGAGCCAGATCTATAATGAGATGATTTAACATCACTCCAAGTTGAAGTTTATCAAGGTAGAGGGAGGAAAGGAAAGAGAGATCACTGCATACTCGACGTGGTAGACATCATTGTAGTGGATCAGCCGTAGATCCGGGGACCCAGTTCGGCCAGTGGAGTAAGTGACGGAGAGACCGTCTGTTTCGATGTTTGACATGGAAGTCTCGATTTTATGTAAAAAAGAATAAAGAGATACTTAAAAGGAGGTTGGGTGGGGGGAAAGAGGAGAGGAAAGTGAAGGAAGGGGGGGGGGGGGGGGAACACAAACATGAGGGGAAGCCGCGGCACTCCAAAGTTTATGCCTGAGTGCCTGGCAGATGCCTGAGGGTTTCAAGATTGGGTGGGATGTTGCCATAGTGATATTTTGAATATAGAAAAGCAAAAGAAAGACTAAAACGCCATGCATGAGGTATCCTAAATTTCAATAAAGAGAGTGATTTCACAGCTTTTGTTCCGCCACTGTCCATCGCCGTTTCGTTCCACCTTCACGATCACCCAATGGCTGAGCACTCCCCCATAGACCACGCTGAGACAGAGCCCGTTGTGGTAACTGCTTCGTCCAGCCCAGATCTGCAGATGGATCAAAGCTACCAGAGAGTGCTGAATCCTGACTGACCGGCCGGTCACCAAAGTTCGGCACAAGATTGTCCTCTGCATCGACTTTGCCAGTGGGTGACGAGATCGAGTTCCAAAGCCCAGAGGCACCTGGAGAATTAGGTGAACCAGTTGAGGGGCGTATTGCTAGCATCCATGCTCGAGGGCTAGTACTAGGTGGCCCATTTGTTACTGTTTCTTGAAGAAGAGATGGGCGAGCACCAAGACGATTCCGATAGGAAGGAACCGGAGGTGGTGAAAGTACAGGGACGGGTGATGACAGCGAGATGAGCTGCGAGGGGTTTATTCCCGGGCGCAGATGATCTGTCGACGCCACAAGCTGCAAGCAGTACTCTCGTGATACGGATTGATTCTCTGGGCCCGGAAATATAGGCGTATCACCCACGTCATGCATGGGTTTATTCACGCGATTACGTCGCACAGCCATGGTGAGTGAAGCTGTGTTAATATCGAGTAAGACTGAGTGCCCATTCAACGAACTAATCAAAGCATTGCAGTCCGCGCCATGTGTGATAATAACGAGGACCGTTTGTGCATTGCAGTCATTTACCTCGTTCGGCTCTGCTGTGAAACCGTGTTCAGATAGATCCTGTTCCCGGTACCAGTTAATCATGTGCTGAAATCCATTGTGCACCCGTTCGTGCATTGTACTCCATTCCTCGCCGAATTCGCCCCCTGTGCCCCAATAAGGCGTGCGCATGCTGTCCCACTGGTAGTCGATCCTCGCACATGCGTTTCGAGCATGAGCAACATATCCTGTAGGAATGGGATCCGAGGTGGAAACGGCGTAGGTGGGAGTTGGGGGTACGTAAAATGTGTCTAGAGTAGGCGGCAAGTCTGTTCTCAGGCGATCGAGAGATTTCTTTGCATGTTTGAGACGGATAGGGTTCTGGAGAGTACCATGAGTGCTGGCACGCTGGCGCTGGGATGTTGCAGAATGCAAGTGGTGGTCTTCAATAGCCGGCGAACTAGGGTGTGACTGGCTGCGCCAACCGCCAGGGAAGTGGCCCGACAACGCCCTTGCCAAACCATCGGTAGTTGGGATGACCTCGGCACGACGGAGTAATTCCCCTTTGGCGGACGCCACCATTCTGTCAGAGCCCGGCGGGGGTGTGATCTGGTCAAAGTAGTCGGGTGATAGCCACTCGCCCAGAAATGCGTCGACACGGAGCAGACATCGCTGGTCAGCGGGGGATGAAACTGTGGGGACAGTGGGAGCTGAACTAGTTGATTCGGATGCTTCTGTGTCCGAAGGTTGTTGGTGGATACCAGCACTAACTCCTATTGCAGTTTGCAGACATCGAAGGTAAGGAGAGGTATGGATAATGACGTTATATCGGCGGGACAGATCCGAAGATGCGGGGGTACGTTTTGCCTGTTTTTCCGAGGTCGGATAATGGCTGTGCTGATTCTCTGGATCTTCCCCAGTGAACTTTCGGGATCTTAAGAGACTTCCTATACGTACACCAAGTGCCCGGGATTGAATCCATCCACCGTAGGAAAGAGGTGGATCGAAAGGGCATGGAGAGGTCAAGTGCCAATCTTTGTCTGCAGCGTCAAGGCGGGCGCCATGTCTAAGCTAGTGAGAAGCGGAAGCAGTGCAAAAGAAGCAAGTACTCACCTGGCAATAAACACTATAGGTGGTGATTTTTTCATGAAGGTCAATATGTGTCCTTGGACCCCGCGTCACTTTTTTGTTCCGTCACTTTTGGTTCGCGGGGAAAATGCAGCTTTAACACTGTCTGATTGGGTTTGCAGAGCTTGAAACAAGATGGGAAATGGCGAAAAAGTTTTTATTAGAGAAGAAGCCCTATGGCTGATCAACCAGGCATCGCAACTACCATATTGAGACTAGCAATGAAAGAATGTAAAAGAAGAGCGAAGCGAAAGTTTTAAAGGGCCAGCCTGCGCAGCCTGGGGCAGCTGAGGCATGTGATGCTTACTAATAACCCCTCACCTAGGCCGAGGCCCCGATAAATAGCACAACGTTGAATGGTTATAAACTGAACATATGGACATATGGCATCCAATTCGATGGAAGGGGCTAGATTCAAATCTACTAGAATCTAACCTGTCTTTTAAAATACTTAGCAACCTATAAATTTGACTATGTTCGCATTTACGCCAACAAAAAGGACGACCGACTATAACTACCCGTAAATCTCCATCTCCCTCATTGGATATCTATAAGAGAATGCTGCCGAATGAATAAGAGCTCCTTTCGACCATTTTGAGAATTTCAGCTCACATTGACACAGATTTTGAATGGCAGGCCAGCATAGACCTCTTGTGTTAGTCGATCCTCGACAACACGGGACTTCATTTCCTATTCCAAAACTTTTTAAAAAAAAAGAAGATCGCCGGAAACTCGGAGACAATATCTATACAATGATAACCATGACAGAACGAGTAAAACAATTTGGCGATCGCCTTTACCCCAAATAGACATAGCCGCGCCGGAATGAGTAACCGATCGGGGCCAACTTCAGGGCCGCTTCCCTTATCTGATCTTCTATACTTGAGTAGCCTCCAAGTTCACTGTTCTTTTCTTTTTCTCAAGCTTCATATCCTAAGCTAGGGAGATAACTCAGATGGCAAACAAAAACATCCTTATTTTCATCTACTTGTCACCATGACGGACTTTGAGAAGGTTGCGAAAAATGTCCTGCCGGAGAAGTCTTGGGTTAATGCATCAAGCTCAGCTGCTACGGGCCTGTCAATGAAAACCAATCTCGATGATTGGTCTCTGATCAACTTTCGCCCTCGGATCTTGAGGAGTGTTGATTCAATGGATACTCGGAGGAACATCTTGGGCACACCTCTCAGTTCCCCTATTTCGTTTCGGCTATGGGTACACTGGGCAGCTCACACCCTGGCGCTGAACCCTTGCTGGTGAGAGGAGCGACCCGCAAAGGCATGCAAATTATGATCAGCACAGCATCCACGAAGCCGCTTGAGGAGATCATGGATGCTTATCTGGACGAACAACGGCTACTTGAAAATCAAAGCTCTTCAAGCTTGACATTCTAACTCTACGTGCATGTGGATCGGACAAGAGCCAACTCACTAATTCAAAGAGTCAAAGGAGCCGGATATCAAAGCTTGTGGCTGATAGTAGATAATTCAACGATAGGAAATCGTAGTGCAGATCGTTACCTCCAAAAAAGCTCGGCGCTGGTTTGGCCGAAAATGCAAGAGACAGTCACGGAGAGAACGACTTCACGCCAGAATTCGGAAGTTGGCAGGTTCCCGGTTCGGTAGATGGTGGTCTTACTTGGGTGGACTTGGACTGGATTTCGTCAGAATGGGATGGGCCACTGGTGCTCAGGGGGATTCAAAGTGTAGAGGACGTGAAGCTGGCTGTCCAACATGGTGTGCAAGGAATTCTGTTGAGCAACCGTGGAGGCAGGCAGATTCTTTTCGCCCCAAGCTCATTGATGCCGTTCTTAGACAATCGCACATACTACTCAGAGGCCTTCGACAAGCTCCAGGTGTTTGTTGACGGAGGTCTTCGCGATGGAGCAGACATCCTCAAGGCGTTGTGTCTCGGAACGACCGCTGTTGGAGTGGGCAGGCCTTAATAATACGCCCTCGCGGCATACGGCGCCGAGGAAGCGTAAAGATATACAGACAGTAAGTTGTAACTGGTGTTGAAATCAATTCCAAGCTTGCACAATTGCAGTCCTTGCCGAACTTGAAATCACCATGAAGATGCTTGGAGTCTCTTATATAGACCAATTGGGGCCAGATATGGTAGACACCAGCCGGCTAGCAAATGAAATGTGGCGACCCGTATTTGGAAAATCTAAGCTGTGAAAATGGCTCTTTGTGGATTCATTCATGATGACCAAAAGGACCATTGCATCATTTCTACCTGTGTACATAATTGAGATGGGCATATCAGAAATGCTATGCTCGATGTACAACCCATTCACACAGCACCCCAGCCACCACCACCAGGAGTATTGATCACAACCCGGTCGTGTGTCTTCATTGAGACAGTATTTTTGCCGCCGATGTTAATGCGGCGCTCAATTCCAGTGTCTCGATCCCGTGAGATCCACAAGTTGAATCCGGTCTGAGCATCCTGGCCACCTTTTAGTCCATAAGGCCGATGGACACGGCGCTCAGATAGAATCGAACATTGTATTGGGGATAGGAATTCGATATCACGAATCACTCCCTCACCACCAGGGTTCTTGCCCTGGCCACCAGAGCCCTCACGTAGGGTAAATTGGCGGAGCATTGTCGGATAGCGCTTCTCCAGGATTTCAGGATCGGTGATCCGCGTGTTGGTCATGTGAACATGTATACCAGACTCGCCCTTCCAAGTGGGGCCAGCACCACTTCCACCAGCGATAGTCTCGTAATATCCAAATCCTGGCTTGATGACAGCACCGGTGGACGGATCAACCTTGGCATCCGTCCCGAAGGTCAGGTTGTTACAGCAACCCTGAGACGCGGCACAAGCCTGGAAGGCTTTGAACACGACGTCAGTGATGCGCTGTGAGGTTACAACATTGCCACCAACCACGGCAGCAGTCTTGCTTGGTGACAAAATGCTGGATGATGGGACACGAATGTCAATTGGCGTCAGGCAACCCTGATTTAGTGGCACATCTGCATTGATCATGCAGCGTAGACAGTAGATGATGGCTGAATGGGTAATGGCAATGGGAGCGTTCCAGCTCCCATACACCTCAGGGCCTGTGCCCTCGAAGTCGAAGATAGCTGATCCATCGCCACCATCGATGGTGACCTTCAATCGAATAGGGGTGCCATCATCCATGTAGTCGACTGACTCCAATGGCTGGCCGTTGAACTTCTTGTATAGCTCCTTGAGAAGATTGCGCACAGCGGACTCGGCGGTTGCCTGTATGGCATACATGTACTTCTGCACGGTCTGAGTTCCATATTCGTTGAACAGAGTTTGAATCAAGCTGATTCCGCGAGTATTGGCGGCAATTTGGGCCTTCAGATCGGACAAATTGTCGCTGATGCAGCGTGCTCCAGCGCAGCCGGGGTATTGCGAGGGCTTTGTTACCAGCAACTCGATCAAACGTGGTTCATCCAAGATACCATCACTGACAATCTTCTCGCCTTCGATTGCCGCACCTTCTTGCCACAGCTCAGTGGATTTAGGAGGCATTGATCCAGGTAAAATGCCACCAATATCAGCGTGATGACCACGGGAAGCCACGTAAAACATGATCTCGGAGCCACCAGGTCGGTCAAAGACCGGTGTTATGACCTGTGAACATATCAGAATTTGATGACAGTAACCAATAAAATATCACTTACTGTGATATCGGGCAGGTGTGTGCCTCCGCAACTGGGGTGATTGGCCACCAGAACATCACCATCCTTCAAGTTGCCTAGCCACTTCTCATGCTGATATCGCACGGCAAATTGCATCGATCCGAGATGAACCGGAACGTGGGGTGCGTTAGCCACCAAACCTCCATCGGGGGAGAATAGAGCGCAAGAGAAATCCAGTCGCTCCTTGATGTTAGTCGAAACGGAGGTCTTCTGTAGCGTGCGACCCATCTGCTCAGCGATGGACATGAAGCGATGTCCAAAGATAGTAAGTCTAATGGGATCAATTTCCGATGACATTGCACTTCCGGAAAATGTTGGTTCGTCAATGAGATCGATGACAATGCAGGTGTCAAGCAGGTTTGCGACTGCATTAGGAGCCACGACAATGGTTTGGGTTTGATCAATGATTACAGCCGGTCCATAAATACGGGAATTCTTCTCCAATTCAGCAAGAAGGTAAACTGGTGTATCGATCCGACTTGACTGGCCAAAATAGGCAGAAGTGGTGTTGTTCGGAGCCGTCACTACATCTCGCATATTCGCTTCTTTCAGTTGAACCAAGGGACTTTGTTCGTTCCGCACCTTGGATGAAGCGATAGATCGCACTCGAACGTCATCAACAAGAACAGGTCGGTCAGAGTTGAAATTGAATTCACGGTGATGGCGAATACGGAATTCCTCCAGGAAATCTGCTGAGCTCTCGGGCTTCAGGATCATCAGACTGGTGTCAGAACCTTCGTAGCGCATGTTCAAGTATTGCTCATGGCGCACTTGAGTGGAAAAAAAGCCTTGAGATTCCATTTCCTTAGTTGCTGATGCTGACAAGCTATCGAGGTGTCGAAGAAGAGCAGATTGTGAAGACAGGTAGGTGGATGAAACGGGCTCCTGCGACTCCTTGACAACCTCTGCCAAAGCCAGGCCGTATGCCGACAGAACAGATGAGTACTTGTGAATGATGATACGGGAGATTCCGAGCGTTTTGGCTACTGAGCAAGCATGTTGGCCACCAGCACCTCCAAAGCATGCCAAATGGTGAGATGCGGTCTCAAAACCACGAGCCTCCGTGAGATTACGGATTGGTCGGGACATAGACTCATCCGCAACATTGAGGAAACCCAGTGCGACTTCCTCTGGGGAAAACTCCGACTGACCTTGCTGTCGGCGTTCAAAGTTGACTTTTTGTGTGAGTTCAATGAAAAGACGTGCAGTCGTTTCTGTATCCAGACCTTCGTCCTCATTAGGGCCGAAGATCTTCGGGAAGTACTCCGGTAGAAGACGGCCTAGGAACAAATTGGCGTCTGTCACTGTGAGAGGGCCCCCCTTTCGGTAGCATGCTGGACCAGGATGAGCACTCGCAGATTCAGGCCCAACATAGAATAAGCCATTGCGCCAAGTGAGAATGGAACCACCACCAGCAGCGACAGTGTTGATATCAAGCTGAGGGGACTGGATCATCACGCCTGCAACCTTGGATGCAAATACATGTTCAAGGTGACCATCAAATCTGGAGACATCTGTGCTAGTTCCACCCATATCGAAGCCAATGACGGGGATCTTCTCAGTGGGATCCCAACTAGTGACTGCAAAGCCGACCACGCCAGCTGCGGGGCCAGACAAGATCGCTTTTAGCCCGCTGAATTTGCGGAAATCGACCATTCCACCATCTGATTGCATGAACTCAAATCGGCAGTTCTGCTGACTCTCCAACCCACCTTCAAAGCTCGAAGATATGGAGTCGATATATGTCTTGATAACAGGTGTAAGATAGGCATCGGCGGCGGCCGACATGCTGCGAGGCACGATCTTGATCATGGGTTGAAGTTTTGAAGAGAGGGTGACCGAGAAGCCCATCTCTTGAGCAATCTCGCCGATTTGATGCTCGTGCTCAGGATATGCGTAAGAATGCAGTAGTGCCACAGAAATTGACAAAATTCCTTGCTCCTTCAGTCGTTGGAGCTCTGCCTTTACCTGAACGAGGTCTAGTTCTTGCACAATGCAGAATTTCTCGCCAGTAATTCCCTCTACCACCCGGCAATCGGAGAAGCAATCGCTATCAGCGGAAGGATGGCATGACAGCACACGTTCGTTTACTTCGACGACACTTTCCGGAAGTACTCCGGGGCGAGCCATTGAGAGATCAAAAATAGCCGGGCGGGATTGGTCGCCAATTTTTAATAAATCTCGAAACCCCTTGGTTGTGAAGAGTGCTGAGCGAGCGCCCTTGCGCTCGAGCAAGGCATTGGTTGCAACGGTTGTGCCCATGCGTAGACAACCAATGCGGTTGAGTTTCAATGGTTGACCTCGGGGATGTGGCTCCCCGGTGGCCAGTTCTAAAACCTGACGAATGCCCTCAGTCGGGGCATCTTGATAGTGAGAAGGATCGACAGATAGAAGTTTCAAAATAATATCGGGACGGCCAGGTTGAATCGCGTGGACATCAGTAAATGTGCCGCCGCGGTCGATAGAGATGGTGATCTTCTCTGAGTAAGACATTGGCGCTAATATGAGTTGCAGAATATGTGAGGTGGGTTTAAGAAGAGAAAAGGAAAGAACGACAAATAAGGATAGTCAGAAGGGAACTGGATTCAATCATACCATAGAGGTCATCCCGATATCCCAGCACATCTCCAATCATTGATGTCACGTGTCGGGCCGACACCTTCGCCGATAAGCTGCGGGGTTTTAGATTGAGGACGGAGGGGAAGATAGGACATATCTGATCTACTGATGTCCTGATGTACTGATCTACTGGCGATAAGAACAGTGATAGTTGGCAAGTTGTGGAGACATTTCAGAGCATTGGGGCCTCAGGCACTAACTCTGAAAATTCTCAGCATTAAGCACACATTGCAAGTAGAACTAGAGGATGGGTTTTGAGTATCTGTTTTCTCTTACCGCTTCAAAGTGTTCCCAATCCAGTCCGTGTCCGTGTCAATGTCGATTTGATCCAAAGCCCCTTCCCAGAGTGCTGGATCATCGTGTTGATCAAGCTTGAAAGCAACATCCCGGAAAGATGGGAGATCTGGCCGTTGTGGCCAGTTACAAGTGAGGAATTGCGAATCGGTGTAACAGGACCCTTTTGACTTGTAGCAAGAGACCTTGCCGCTTCGGTTTCCTTTTCTTCGGCTGGTCTAAGTCCAATGGCCGCCTGTAATTCCAACAGCAACGAGTGACGCGAGTCCAGATATGTATTTCCTCGATCCGCCATACTACGAAGAAGTTTCAGTGCGGTTTCCTTGGCCCAGGCGTTGATTTCATAAGGCGGACACGCGGCTTTCACCATAACCAGCAGCAGTGCAGCAGAGAGGATGCATTCACCGTCAATGTATCCATAGGTAGCTAAAGGTTCGCTTGATTAGACGATTTCATAACAAAAAGTTGGCGTTGTGTAGCGATCGCGTACCAATGAGATTATATTTTGCAAATGCATCCATGACTACTGTAGTTGCTCGCACAGCCGTGATGCAGCTGTCAATTATGGCAACGGTATCGAGGGACAACCCTTCTTTCCAAGCATCTGTGGCGGATCCAAGCGCTTCCGCGTCGAGTCGTCGTTGGATGACATAGAAGACCAATGGGCGTGCAGTCATGTTCATACACGAGTAAAAATGCAAGTTGATTGAGACGGATTCACATATGTGTATGGAGTGTAGTGAAATCGATCCGGAGCCGGTCTGGTACTGGTCGCAGCCAGCCAGAAAGGTCATTTGTGATATTCTGGGCAGAAGCAATGAGGCTGGATCCGGATCCAAATTTCTCTCTATCGATCTCTGATGTGGCCATCTATGTCAGCTTGGCAGCGCGGAAAAGAATAGGGAGGGGTTTAACCTTCCCCAATCCGTCCCAGTATATGGGATATTTGTGTATAATGGGTAAGAACGGTTGATACCTATGGATCGAAGGTTGGTCCACCCTAGATAGAAAAAACCGAATTGGCTAATACACAACTATACCATGGAAGGAAGCACAACAAAGTTGTGGGCCAAGTTATCCCGATGTCTTTTATCGTGAACTGTAATAGGATTATTAGGCTTGACCGAGAGTAGCTTGTCCATGACGTGAGACTTTTATTCAGAAACAAGAAATTGGCCAAATTAGCGGTACAAGCTGTAAATAGACCACCAAGCACAACGTCGACGGTTTCGATCTGATTCACTTATTGAGGGATCGGACACCTCTTGATGTAGGCCTAGGGAGATAGCCATGCGCAGAGCAAGTCCGATCTAACGTTGATGGCCCTACGGCGGAAGGCCAATGGATGTACCATGTACGTAAAGAAAGGCAGCGTCCCGTCTGTTCAGATTCTGCATATAGTATGCCACATAGCATAGTACCTCAACGAAGAGAATCGAGCCCTCCGTGGACATCTGGCAAGAAACGTAATGCATGCTTGAAATACTTGAAGCCGGGAGGACCTTCCTCGCCAATCCACTGATTCACACTGTACATCAAGCCAAAAGAAATAACCAGCCGTGTCTGACAGTATACTATACAAGACTCACGATGTGAAAAATCGAATAGTTGGCGATAGACTAGATCAAGCCGCGCTTCAAACTCCGAGGGTTAAATAAAGAAGAAGATTGTGCCGAGGTAAGCAAATTGCACCCAGAATAGTCGCTTGGCAAACTCGAAAGGTGGTTATTGAGGCAACAAGCCACCAGCTGGCCTTCTCAATGATAACGGGTCATTGTAAAGTGGGCGCACATCCCATGCAAGGTTTATGGAGCCGGGGTTGAGCCGTTTCGCGAGATGCGTGGTGGACGAGGCATCCACGGAATCTAAAGAAAGTTGGCAGAAAGATGGTAGAAACTACTTTTTCTTCTACCTTAATACGTACGATATTCTCCCAACCGATTTAAGAAAAAAATGTCTATCCCTTTGTATCACCAGTCGTCGAGTTCTGGTGGACCCTCATCACTGTAGCGATTTGATATCGATTGCTCATCTGACAATGTCGGATAGTTACCTTCTATCCTAGTAGGGTTAAATTGTGCCCAGATGACTACCTAGGCGCTTATGAGCCTACCTCGTGATGCGGAAGCTTGCGATTGCAGTTGACGAGAGTAGCGGCAAAGAGATGTCAGCATTGGCTCTCTTCAAAGACCTTGGATCGACTTCGCCTCTCCGTTATGGAGATTCACTTTTCAGCCTCTGAATATACACATGCTGCACAAGGGTGGGGTGGATTGCCAGCGCAGCGAGTTTTTCTAGGAGGGCAGCGGTTACAGGCTACCATTGACCTTCTCCTGTGATCTTCTGCCCGGTGTGAGATATAATTCTACGGGTTTTCCTGATGTGAGATCCTCGACATGTTTGATCTGTCCGATCTGCATAGATAGATGAGACGTGGAAGACAGTCCACAGCGGGACAGAAAGCCACGGATTCTCCACTTGTCTTGTCAGCCCGACCTCCCCCTAGATGGTACGATAAAAGTCACCTACACATGTAAATATATTACTCAATTTGTGAGACTATCCATGGGTACGGTGTCTAAGTTCAAAACAGATGGTGCATTTTGATATTTTTTTTAGGACTTTCAGGCTTCTTTGGAGAGGCTCATTGCTTTCACACGCCACCCCCACATGCATTCTGCGTTATCTCCAGAGTTAGGCCGTTGAATATGACCAAGAATGAAAACAAACTCGAAAGAGGTGATCAAAATATAGCCACGCCATTTTGTGACTTACAACCTCACCGAGAACCCGATGAAGGTGGCGAGTTAGGAATAGGAGTGGAATTTGTGACACATTCACCGGCACGCCACTAAAGAAAAAAGCTCCAGCGACCTCTATTCCGACATTCCTGGCTGAGTTCGAGATCAAAGAATTTCCCGATTGGGACACCGCAGTATGTATGGCCTTTGGAGGATTCTACCCCAATCACAGGAGGTGCTACAATAGTCGGCCAGTTGCTGACATTGAGCCTGGGACAGCTATTCTTGCGCTCGAGTCCAACCCCTGCGGATCAACAAGATGATAACCCGGTCGACATGTGGTATTCTGACTAACAGCTACCTCTTGGAGTACAGAGGCTGAGATTGACCGGGTTTCAAGAAGCAATTAACAAGCAATTCACATCTTTCCTACTTGCCGCTGCTCAGCCTGAATCCAAGAGAATGCCTCGTCCAGCGATATCGCCATTTTCAACCCATACTGAAGGAAGATCAAAGATAATCGAGGGTTTAAGTGTTGTTTTCGCCAAGATATCTTAAATTTGGGTCAAGATCATTCAAAAACAAGAAAACGTTGCATCTCATGATTTAATCATAGGAACTCGATGAGATCAGACCTGCGGGAATATATATTCAAGGGGAATTTGAAATTTGACAACTTCAACTTTGGTGGTAGGAGCCAGGGAGCGAAAAATTCAAATCGATCACTATAGAGGCACCGAGATTTTCATGTGTTAGATTTCTACCACTATGGGATGCAAGGCTACATACATAATAACTTGTGTATACATAGATCACGGAGCACGTGATGCGTAGACACATGACGGGCATTCCTCGCACGGCATTTCTCTCTGTTGCTGTGGTAGCGCGATTTTTCTCTTTTTTTAAAAAAAACTCCCCACATACCTGTGGACCCTTGTGAGCCAGTTGCAGATTCAGAATTCAGCCCCCCCAAGAAGATGCGATCGTCTCCTGACGCCTTGTCGTCATCCCGGCAGTTGCCACCCAACCGCTGTGATTGCTTGGCAGAGAGGCCTTTCGCAGGTGCTTGCAAGCATGGATTACTCTGTCCTCCGGACTCCATACAGTGATCCAAGATTAGTTCCCCAGGGGGGTGTCTCAGATGGTACAAGGGATGTGTAACAATTTACACAAATAATAATTGGGGGAGTCCGTGATGGGTCATGGGAGACGGCTGTTGACCAATGTTATGGCGCATTGCATCGTCGACCCGCAGCTTTTTACATGTTCGACAAGTTATGTACAGTCGCAGCAAGGCTCGAATCACAGAGTCAGATTCATACCCGTACAAAATCCGGGAGAAGAACATTTGAAAATATGAGGAAAAAAAACAATCAAGGGGATTATTCAATCGGGGTTGATCTTGCAGCCCCCGATCGTTATGCGATGCATACGCAGGGGAAAAGCGGTTGCCAACAATATGTATGTGTCTTGTCTTGGACGGCTCCACGGTGGATCCTCAGAAAGGGTGGATAACGAACAACAATTGCTGATGTGCTGGGGTTCCACCTTAGTCGCCCTTTTACAGCCCGTATCGTTGGCACCTCCAATCAAATTCTGCACCAAAAATATCTCCTGGATAGATGGCATCTGGAGTTCTCCTTCGCACATCTCTTCTTTGAACCTCCACCATCTATTCACCTCTACTGGGGTTTCACATTGTTTGTCACATAGGTTTGATCACTGGATAGGTCGTCTGCCTTGCTTTCAACCTACCTGACGAGCTTATTGCTGCACAGTTGCGCTGTTGCCATTGACGCGCCGGATCATACTTGGAATTGAAACTTCTAACCTGGATTTTGCTTTTGATTGTTGAGATACAATCATATGAGATAGAGTTCTATTCCTATTTCATTAGAGCGGTTTCACCAGAGCCGGAAAACGAACACAAAAGTCACGCATAATGTCTCTTCCTCAGAGAGGCACATCGCCTCACTCACCTCACTCACCTCACTCACCTCATTTACCTATTTCACCCCCTTCTGGCATCTCATCTCATTCACCTCAGACGAGCGAGGCTGGCATGTATGGTCAACGAGAGGTGTGTGACAAGTCACTCGGAACAGAAGAAGAAACCTATCAATAAAGCAACGGATGCTAAAACAATCTGTTCAGCAGCAAGCGTACGGCTACGAGGAGAAACCCGAGAACATCGACAGCCAGCAGTCTTTGCTCTACCGTAGCCAGCCTAGCCCACTCAATGCTTCCTTCGATGACCGATATACCTCGACCGATTCCCTACGTCGCTACACACTACAGGATCCCGGAGTCACCATCTTCCCCGATGGTCCATACCAGGAGTCCTTAGGAGGACTCAACCATCGCTCGGGTACTCAATCACCGATGTCGGAGACTGCCTCGGAAGCCTGGCAGAACCGACAGGCACCTGGGTCAGGACTGCGGCGGTATGCTACTCGAAAGATCAAGCTGGTCCAAGGTTCTGTGCTTAGTGTCGACTACCCGGTCCCGAGTGCCATTCAGAACGCGATTCAGAAGGAGTACCGGGAATCGGAGGAGGGTTTCCCAGAAGAATTTACCCATCTGCGTTGTTAGTCTTCGCGTAAAATGTTGGTGATGGGAATGGAGCTGATTGCATTCAGATACTGCGGCCACCTGTGATCCCGACGAGTTCACCCTACGCAACGGATACAATCTGCGACCGGCCATGTACAACCGACACACCGAGCTTCTGATTGCCATCACCTATTACAACGAAGATAAAGTCCTGACGGCACGCACGCTCCACGGTGTCATGCAGAATATTCGCGACATCGTCAAGTTGAAGAAGTCCGAATTCTGGAATAAAGGTGGCCCCGCCTGGCAAAAGATCGTGTGCACCTTGATTTTTGATGGTATCGATCCTTGCGACAAAAACACTCTCGACTTGTTGGCCACAGTTGGTATCTACCAGGATGGTATCATGAAGCGGTCCGTCGATGGCCGGGAAACCGTCGCACACATAGTGAGTTCCTACACCCCTCCTGGTTTAGCCTGTCAAAACCATAATCCCTCTATCCCGGTATGTCTATAGTCGAAGAAAAATCCATTAACAAGACCTCCCTATGCAGTTTGAGTACACCACCCAACTCTCTGTCACATCCAACCAACAATTGATTCGGCCTCAGGGCAACGAGTCGTCAAACCTTCCTCCTGTGCAAATGATCTTTTGCCTGAAGCAAAAAAACAGTAAAAAGATCAACTCCCACCGCTGGCTCTTCAATGGTTTCAGTCGAATCCTAAACCCTGAAGTGGTGATCCTTATTGACGCCGGAACCAAGCCGGGAAAGAAATCACTTCTTGCTTTGTGGGAATCCTTCTACAATGATAAGAACTTAGGTGGATCTTGCGGTGAGATTCACGCAATGTTAGGAAAAGGATGGAAGAACCTGATGAATCCCCTTGTCGCCGCACAGAATTTTGAGTATAAGATCTCAAATATTCTTGACAAACCGCTAGAGAGTGCCTTCGGGTACGTTAGCGTGTTACCGGGTGCCTTTTCCGCCTACCGCTATCGTGCTATTATGGGTCGTCCCTTGGAGCAGTACTTCCACGGCGATCATACACTGTCTAAGCAGTTAGGTAAGAAGGGTATTGAGGGTATGAACATCTTCAAGAAGAATATGTTTCTTGCTGAGGACCGTATCTTATGTTTCGAGCTCGTGGCAAAGGCTGGATTCAAATGGCATCTGACCTACGTGAAGGCTTCAAAGGGCGAGACTGATGTGCCAGAAGGGGCAGCTGAGTTTATCAGCCAGCGCCGTCGTTGGTTGAACGGTTCGTTCGCCGCCAGTTTATATTCTATGATGCATTTCGGGCGGATTTATAAGAGCGGCCACAACATCCTGCGCCTATTTTTCCTCCATATCCAGATGATATACAACTTCATGGGTCTTGTCATGACCTGGTTCTCTCTCGGTATGCCTCAAATCGTTCGTTCTTTAGTGAATATTCATACTAACTTGTCACGACATAGCTTCGTTCTGGTTGACTACTACTGTTATCATGGATCTTGTCGGAACTCCTAGTGATTCTAACAAGAACAAAGGATGGCCTTTCGGTAATGAAGCCTCGCCAATCGTGAACAACTTCCTGAAGTACGGATACGTGTTCTTCTTGATGCTGCAGTTCATCCTAGCGCTGGGAAATCGACCGAAAGGGTAAGTCTGAATCTGAAGGAAGTGCCCCACCGCGAAAAATCTGACCTTCCATACAGTTCACGTCTCGCATACACGCTGTCGTTCCTCTACTTCAGCATCCTTCAAATTTACATCATCGTCCTATCGTTCTATCTTGTCAAGAGCGCCTTTACTGGAGGCACACTTGATTTCTCTCTCGACGAAGGTGTTGGCCACTTCCTCAAATCTTTCTTCGGCTCTGACGGGGCCGGTATTGTCCTGATCGCTTTGGTTTCGACTTATGGGATTTACTTCCTCGCAAGTTTCTTGTATATGGATCCCTGGCATATGTTTACATCCTCCTGGGCGTACTTTGCTGGCATGACCTGTTCAATCAACATTCTAATGGTCTACGCTTTCTGTAACTGGCATGATGTTTCCTGGGGTACCAAGGGCTCTGATAAGGGCGACTCGCTTCCCGTCGTTGAGACGAAGAAGGATGAAGCCAAGTCCAATTTCATCGAAGAAGTTGACAAACCGCAGGCCGATATTGATAGTCAGTTTGAATCGACGGTCAAGCGAGCGCTAGAGCCTTACGTTGCGCCTGAAGATAATGACGAACCCAGCATGGACGATGGTTATAAGGCTTTCCGAACTAACCTGGTGTTGATATGGATTTTCAGCAACCTGATCCTTGCACTGTGCATCACCAGTGAAGGAATCACCCGTCTTTGTCTCACGGTATGTATTTTGTCTGACTCTAGGCTCGGGACTCAACTAAAAACCCTAGAATACTTCTACCATTCGCACCTCCAAATACTTCGCCGCTATCCTGTGGACGACCGCCGGTCTGTCTATTTTCCGCTTTATTGGATCCCTCTGGTTCCTGGGCAAGTCTGGTATCCTATGCTGTGTCTCTCGCCGTTGAACCCTCTAATAATTGCTTGTTGTATATTCCTTTGGCCGGCGGTGGTTTTCTCTGTCCCTGTTTTGATTGACATTTTGTTGGTAAGATGTTTCACGCCCTTGTATTCCCCACGTTTGCAACCGCAACGCTATCGAAGACTTTTCTTGGGGCTTGAATACGCAGTGGAAAAGAGAAGAAGGGGTGTTGCATTGGTTTTGAATCTCTGACAGACCTAATTTACTATTCTGACAATGCGTTGAAGGGGTACCATTTGGCTACACTATTGTCCTTTTTCCCCTTCTCCCCGCGCTTTCCCAACTTTTCGCCTCCCCATATGCACCCATATCGGACATCGATGATCAATTAACATACGATTCTACAATGTACTTAATGAATTCGACCCGGATCTCTGAGACGCAGAGTAGCCAAAATCTCATTTTCTTTACCTATAATCACTGCCACTTTTCAACATGTGTCTAGGCTGTTGGGGGACCTATGAGGAACGAAACCAAAGCTCTGATCATAGGATTCTGACAGGTCCTTACATAGATCAAGGAAGCCATTGCCAATTGCCCAGGTGTTAGCCTGGTTTCCCCCTGCACCTGTGCTTTGGCCTCGCATTTTCCATCTGCACGCCAGCGTCATTGACGAATGCCTCCCCGCATCAACGTTGTTATCTCTTATGACTGATCACTCCAATAATCCTGGATTAAATCTCCGGCAAGTGTCTACTGAAGAAATGCGGTGACTCATTCCACCTGGAGGAAGAAGACATGCCCCCACGCGCCATTTTTCAGGCCACCAATGTCACCAACTTTTTATTGGGATTGGCATTGTTTGATCTAGCCTTTTAAGACCGACAAGCGCATTGATCATGTCATTTCGGTGGGTATCTTGGAAATAGAGAATTGGCTTGCGATTTCACTAACGCTGGAGACCGTCCGCCAGGTAAGCTATTATTAGGCATAAGACCGCGGAGTAGACATGTCAAGCGTATCACTCTACGATGTCTCATAGCCCTTAATCGGAAGGGGGCCGTAGCTATATAAATAGAGGTATGTATAGTTCGAATCTGATTGGGTTTTGATTTCTCGAGCTCGAAGACGAGATTGTGAAATCTTGAAGGGCATTTATAATTAATAGTCAACGCGATCTATCGTATATGGAACTGGACCAAACGAACAAAGCAAAAGACGAGGCAATGCACATGGGAAGGCGTCAATTCCAAAAGACTGGACCTGTTCCCTTTCTATGATCGATAGCTTGGATTATTTGAACGACTCCCTTGTGTGAACACGGTCAACGTCGTAAGGGTTGGCTTCATATGTAGGCACCCGATGAATGGAAGGGGTGGCATCGGTGGAAGTGCACGAAAGAGTGTGATGAATTGACTGAACGTCCACGGGGGTCTCCTTGCTGTGAGGGAGCGATGCGATGGTGTCGTTTGCCAATGTAGGGGGGGAAGTTTCAGGCTTAGTCTCGACAGGCTCCTCGGCGGCCTTTTGCATGCCCCGAAGAAGATTTTGAACAAAGGCCTCAGACTGCGCAGAGTACTTGCAGTGCTTTCGGATGGACAGTCCATACTTATAGAGCAGGAAGGGGAAAGGTACACATGCAAGAGCCAAGAACGCCGGAACACAGGAGGCCCAATGAATTCCCAAGTTTTCGTACATGTATTTGGTGAACAGCGGGAATGCAAATCCGAACATCGATCGCAGTAGCGTGTTGGCTGCCAAGACAGAAGCCGCAAAGATGGTGTAAGCATCGATCAGGTAGTTGAAGACACTGAGGAAGACGAGCAACATTCCAAAGCCGAACGGAACTCCAGCAGCGACGCTCACCAGCCAGTGGACGGATGGAGAGTTGGTCCATGCAAACCAAAAAAGTCCTATCGGCAGGGCGATAGAGCCTATCATACACGGCGGAAGGCGGGCTTCTGGAGGCGCATAGCCACCGTTCTTCTGCAGGAGTTTCGCGTAGCGCTTATTCTCGGGAATTGAATACGCAACGGCACCAATCATACCCATCATGACACCGATAAAAGCTAAGCCGCCGACACCTTGATTCCATCCACGGTGGAGCTGATATACAATCGGGAAGGCGCCAAAAAGCATGTAGAGGGTTCCGTAGATGATAGCAAGGTAGATCGAGAGCAGCAACACGATGGGTTCTTGAAGAAGAAGTATCATGGGTCGTGAGAGAGAGATTTTCAAGGCGGCTTTCAATGTGAGACGCCCTTGGTCGATATCTAACTTGCTGAGGTACACCTGACCTGTGAGCTTCGAGAGAGTTTTTGCACGCTGGCGAAGCAGAACGGGGGCATAGGTTTCCGGCTTCAACGCAGCTCCTAAGACCCACATGACAGCACAGAGGATACCTAAGAGACCCATCACCCATTTCCAGCCTCCGCTTGACATACCCAGGAAGCCACCCGCGATAGGCCCAATGACTGGTCCTAGGAACGGAGCCAACGCGAAGGCCGATAAGGCCAGTCCTCGATCACGAGCCATGAACATGTCGGCGATGACACCGCCTGAATTGGTGAGGGGCGAGGAGCCGAAAGCACCGGACAAGAATCGGAAGATCAGTAGGGTCGTCATATTCTTCGCGCCCGTACACGCGGCACAAAATATGGTCAACCCGCAGTAGGTTGTGACGAAGACAAGTTGACGACCGAAGATTTCACTCATCGGGGCCCAAATCAAAGGACCCAGGGCAAAGCCCAGTACGTAGAGGGACACACCCAATGTTGCAACCTCGGTAGTTGCGCCAAATCGTTCTTGAATTTCAATAATACCACCAGTATAGGCGGACGAGACCAGAGCGACGACCAAAGTCTCGATGGCAGCGACCACGGTGATAAACCATTTCCTGGACGTTTTTAATTGAAGGGGGTTTCGAAAGTCCTTGGGCATCCATTCCACGACATAGGGATCTTGTTCGGTCCCGGAGCCGGCATAAGGGTGATCAGCAACTTCTTGGGTGATGGCACCGGGATTGAGGACGAGTCTCCAGAAGGGAATGGAGTTTGGCAACTGTAGAGAGTTGGTAGACTCGGAGACCTCCATTGTTGAAACACAGAGATCACCAGGATGAGGATAGATCTGTGTAAATTTTATAAAGGTCCAAGATCAAAAAGAGAAAAAAAAAAAAAAATTTAAACAGAGATTCCCCAAGTCTGAAGAGACTGCAGGATGACTTATTATTATTATAATTATTATTTTCTATAAAAAAAATATATGTTGTACTTCATATCGGAGAGACTGCTTGTTTTAGTTCTGGTGGAGGGGGGACATTTAAAGTAATCAGCTGTAATCCGCTGCATAGAAACCCCATTAAAGACCCCATCAGAGAAAACAAGTAGGAACAGTTCTTTCATTGGCTTTGAGATCCTTCGAGATCCCGACTATCTCCACTTAGTCCCGGCCCGATCAGTAATCCATTTCTCTCGGCCAGGCCGATGTGGAAGAGTTTTTCAATTTTTTTTCATTTTTTTTTTTTTTTTCAAAGAGCCGAGGTTGTTTGAGAAGGTTCACATTGTGCAGTTAGGGCTATCTCGCCTCTTTTCTTCTCTTCTTCTTCTTTCTTTTTTTTTTGCCAAGTCCCAGAACGATACGGAGTACCTCCGGAAGTCTCACTAACAACTCAACGGAGTATCTACGGAGTATTTCCCCCTCTATCATTTATTTATATATGGTGTGGCTGATCACTGAGCTAATCTCAAATGCCTATTGGGCCGATTAGGGTGTGATATATATATTGCATAATGTACGGAGTGCATATGCACTCCATACTTAGCGCTGTTAGCCGCTGGAGACAACACCTTGGTAACTGACCCATCGAACCTCTCATGTGAACAACGGAGAGCCTGTTACAAATTGTAGATTTGAGAAACTACGGTGTAGATACTAAATGAACTGGCAGGATGAGAGAGGTACGGGCAGGATTTTCCCTTGGTAGATGCCCAAGGCCATTTGAGAACTCCCGTTCCCCCCCTGATCTGTGGTCCCCCGTAGACATATGTAGGTTGGATGCACTTTCAATATCTTCATCACAGCAAAATAATTCCAGAAAAAAAGAAGAAAAACAAGAGAGAAAAAAAAGAAATTTCAGGTCTCGTCTTCAATGTGACAAGATCTAACTTGAATTACAGGCTTTTTTCGATCTCAGCAACTTCGGCCATCACCTCTCGGACTGCGATTTTGGCCCCCTCTCCCACCTCTTCGTAAGGGTGTCGAGGGGCCAGATTACTGGCTGCATCCTGAATCCCTGCCAAAGGAGCGGAGTAGCATGCAACTGCATGCTTAGTGGTCGCAATGCCGCTTTTAATGACACTTTCGGCGAGCGCCGCTTTCCTTTGGAGCTGCACGGCTTCCTTAATCTGGCCCTTTTGATACATCGCATAGATCCGAGCCGTCACCTTGGGAAAGACATTGGCGAAGGCGGCGATGCACCCAACGCTTCCTGCAGCTAGTCCGCCAATCAAGAAATCCGATTGCCCACCAAAGATCGCAAAGTCCTCGGGCGCAAGTGCTGCAGCCAGTCGAGTGATCTTGCCCACGGACCCACAGGTCAACTTGACCCCGACCACGGTGGATCGTCCACTGGCGTTCGCAGACGCCGATTCTCGTGTGATGGCGGTGATGGTCTCAGAATCGATGTCCACCCCGTTGCACACCCCCGGGAAATTATAGATCACCACCGGGAGAGGTGACTGGGCTGCCATTTCAGAAAAGAAGCGCTTGACCACGTTCATGTTGGTAGCCTTACTGAAGTATGCCGGAGGGAGGACGAGAAGATAGTTGGCGCCGGCAGCGGCGGCATCCCGTGCGAGCTCGAGGGTCTGCTTGGTCGAGTGCGCACCGACACCGGCCATCAGGGGGAAATCAGGCCCGACGGCGGCTCGTGCAGTTGAAATGAGCTGAGATCGCTCTTCGCGAGTGAGGAGGAAGGCTTCCGAGTTGGTCCCCAAAATCACGAGACCCGCTAGTCCGGTGTTGGACAGATAGGCAAAGTACTTGGACTGAGAGGTGAGATCTAACGAGTCGGTAGCATGGTGGAAAAAAGTAACCGCGGGGCACCAGACTCCCGATGAAGGGACATGAGGTTGGGGAGAAACAGTTGAGTGAGAACCCATTATAAGAGATGGTAGAGGTTGGATGATGGACTACTCCAGCAGTTCTAGTCATAGGACCACTCTTATGTATGATCTCCACGTCCGAGATACTCCCCTCTCGGATCAAAGTGAAGGGCCGAACGGCCATATCACCGATTCATACAAGCTATTTGGCCGTTGTGTTGACGTCCGGACTGCCAATCCATGGAGATCGGATGCTAGAACCGACGAAGCCAATCTCGTACACAGGTCAACCTCAATGAGTCCCACTCTCGGGCCTTCCGCCCGATCAGCGAATAATAGGGTTTGGTTTAAATCCCATTTGAATCTGGTTAACTGGACTCGCCCCCCATCCCGAGAGGCATATTTCACCCAGGCGGAGTTGTGCAAGTGTGGGGGGAGGGGTATTTGGACAACTCGGCCGCGAATCCGAGGATGATGTCACGTGAAAGAATCCCGGTCTCTCTGTAATCCCGAAGACAAATCAGGCCGCTAGATCTTCGGGACTACATCTATAACTACAGCTTCCTAGTTATACTAAAGAAGACATTCCAAATTGACACGGAACTCTTTTCGCCACACTGCCTAAGCGAGTTGGTTTTATACAATGGCCTCTGAAACCATCACCCGGAACGTTGCCACTCAGTCCTGGTTTGATCAAGCTTGTTTCATCCTACCCGATGCAATGTTTGCATTAACTGCTCAGTACATCACAGATTCATCTCCCACGAAAGTCAACTTGGGCCAAGGTACGTACCGCGACGAGCAGGGGAACCCGTGGGTTCTTCCCTCGGTCAGGAAGAGTCGGAAGTTGCCATCACAGGAGTTGAACCACGAATATCTCCTTATTGTTGGTCTGGCAGAATTCTGCAAAGAGGCTGCAAAGTTAGCCCTTGGCCCAGAGCTCTTTCAAAAGAAACATGAAAAAGCATGAAAAAGCATGAAAAAGTACTACAACCCAGAGACCAAAAACTTGGACATTGATTGTTACTGTTCGGCATTGAAGTTGGCCGAGCCCCAGTCTGTGTTTATCATCCATGCATGTGCTCACAACCCAACAGGGGGTGATCCGAGTAAGGAGCAATGGCAAGAACTTGCGCGTCTCTTTAAAGCGAGGCAGTTGTTCCCACTTTTTGACGCCGCTTTTCTAGGGTTCAACTCCGGCAATGTTGATAGTGATGCCTTTGCCGTTCGACTATTAATCGAGAAAATGAGGTTGGAAGCTGGAGTGTGTCTGTCTTTTGCGAAAAACATGGGTCTTTGTGGTATCTACCCGTGCCAGGGTCAGTCCGTTGTCGAAACGATGGCCAATAACATTCGACAGGGGGAACGAGTCGGCTGCTTTTTTCTGGCAACGAGCACCGAAAAAGCGGCGATGAAGACCCAATAAATGCTTGAGATGCTTCAGCGTTCCGAAGTCTCGAACCCTCCAGCCTATGGTGCGAAAATCGCGAGCACCACATTAGCCGATGCTACTCTTTGGAAGGCTTGGCATGATGATCTGATCGCAATGAGCAGCCGCATTCGCTCTATGAGATCTGAATTATCTGATAGTCTGGTGTCCTCTGGTAGGCGTCGCCTGTCCGGAACAGACGACCTAAGATCTTATTAACATGATCAGGCGTGCCTGGCTCTTGGGAGCACCTAATCCGCCAGTCCGGAATGTTTGGATTTCTGGGACTATCCCCGACCGTCGTGCGAATGCGTCGTGGTTTGTTCTGTCATTGCAACAACTGTTTTTGTGATATACTGACATGTGAGGACCTCAGAAAATTTCCACATCTACATGGCCAAATTTTCCCGAATCTCAATTGCTGGCTCAACAAACAAGAATGTGGGCTATGTTGGAAAATCAGTCACTGACTGCTTGAAGCAAGAGTGCTCGTCGGAAACCACTAGAGAATTGATATCCACGGGTGGCAGTGAGGTTCTGATAATTTGTCAATTGCCAGTGCAGTATGTGAAAGTAGGAAAATCAGGACCGACAAGTACTGTTGCATAAAATAAGCATGAGACGGTAGATGCTTATTCTAGAATCTGCTGTTGCCTGTCAAAAGAGCCAATCATCGGCACACAAGAGTGATTGCGTGGATTTTATGATCGAAACACCAGAGAGCAGGAGCAGGTTAGGCTTCACAATGATTGATTGACAAGTACTGCAAATGTGGGAATTCAGTTCAAAGGGCGTTCTCAGTAGCTATTTCGTGCGTTGGCGGCGATTGCGGCAAGGTTCGATCATGCACGTCTGTACGGAGTACCTATCTTGCGATGTTCAATGTTGCATGATCATCAGACTGCTAGCACGGCCGCCGTTTGTTGTAGATAAGAAAAGGCGCTTGAGGAATTCGTCCCACTTTTCTTTGGACAGCCCATTGCTCCAACAGCGCGATCGGAGTCTACAACTATACTTCGGACGGAGTGGAGTCCGTGGCGGTCACTGACACGGCTGAGAGGAGTGAGGCAACTGAAGGAAGATCGTCACGGTCGGGAGAGGTCGCACGCGAAACACGGAACGATATTTTTACAACACAATTGGCAAGTATTTCTGATTGTTGTCCTCCGTAGCTTCGGTGGAAACACAAAGCAAATGCCGAACTGAATAGATCCTTAACATTAGATCGCGCATGCGGTCTGCCGTGTTTCAGGTTTGAGGGTGCATCATAGGCCGAGATGACCCGCAGCTTCCGTATATTCTGCGGATCTTTGGAGCGGATTTCTCTATAGGCACCCATATAGGCAATTGACCACGAGAGAGGCACGGAGTACTCCGTACGGAGTACAACGTTATCGAAGCGAAAATTGGGCGAATGGAGTTCAGTACGGAGTACGTATGTAGTGCAAAGGCCCTCACGGGATCCCACGGATGAGTTGGAGTCTGGCGGTCTATGACCAACCGTATCTCAGGGAGACCTATTCTATCCCATTTGAGATTTCGGACAGCACGACGAATCATGAAGTCAACATTTGCGGTGTCTTCCCACGGACTCTAAACCGAGCGCCGTTGGTGGCGCTCCGCGGTCTCCAGGTGTAGCGCATCTGACCTTGGAATTCGGTTTGGGAGAAGGATTGCAGTTATTTCGCATGACAGTATACAACATACGAGAATACTAGCTATTTGAACCTTGTACTTCGTATCATCTGTAAGGAGTGTACGGAGTACAGAGCACGCAGCAGGATAGTGTAGGGTTGCCTGATGTGAGATCAACCCCGATTTGCTCTGTGTGTTCCATCACGTGACTCCTCCCGATATCTTATCGGCCGCCAAGTCTTTCATTGGCAAGTCGGCTCTCGGGATCTTCTGTGGCGTGATTAAGGAAAACCTTTAGAATTTTCTACAATGTTGTTTTCAGGTTTCTTTCTGTTCTTTTGTTTCATAGATTGCTCCTCCCCCCCCCGCAATCAGCAACGCGGGGGGGGGGGGACTCCATAGTGTGACAGTGTCAAGGCACTCGGTGGCCCTCAGGTGGCCCTCAGGTGGCCCCTGAACAATGCATTACACCAATGTTGCATTTCTTTTACCTAACCTTCCGAACCTTCTTATCGTGTAACGGACACTAAACTGGGGCGCTGGGCGGCGTTTCGCCAAAAACTCCACTGTCATCCACTTCTAGCCTGCTTCCAATGATCTCGTTGGGTGGCCGATCAAGTTGAGTGGATCAGCGTTGTGCTCCACGTGTTGAAGCAGCCAAGCAGAGCTCACAAATCATTGTTAGTCATGGAAACCCTGCTTTGCCTCCTGATAGTGCCCGCATTCGAAGTGCGCAGATTTTGCCTTCTTATATTCCAGGTTATCTCTCTTCCGTTTCACCTGGCAGACTAGCCTCACTTCCAAAATCATCATGGGCCTCGAAAACATCTCTAACAACCATGATACCGAAAAGGTGATGGGAACAGATGGCGAGAAGTCCGCATATGCTTCCCCACCGCCGTTTGAAGGGGACATCGTCGGGGAAATGAGCGAGGCCGAGAGGAATATTTATGACCACGGCATCAAGAGGTTCAATCGTCTTGGCTGGAAGCGACTCACTGTCGTCCTCATCGTCGAAGCCATTGCACTCGGCAGTTTGTCGATTCCCTCCACCTTTGCAACGCTAGGCATGGTCCCAGGTGTGATTTGCTGTGTGGGCATCGGTCTTATCGCCATCTACACCAGTTATATTGTCGGAATGGTCAAATTGGCCTTCCCCGAGGTTGCCAACTATGCCGATGCGGGTCGATTGCTGGGTCACCGATTAGGGTGTGGTCGCTTTGCTTATGAGCTGGTCAACGGGATGCTCGGACTCCAACTGATATTCCTGACGGCCTCGCACTGCCTGACAGGAACCATCGCATTCCTTGACATCACCAAAAGCGGCATTTGCTCGATCATCTTTGCCGTGGTTTCCGCCATTCTCCTGCTTTTACTCGCCATTCCGCCCAGTTTCACCGAGGTGGCCATTCTGGGTTATGTCGATTTTGCATCCATCATCATTGCCATTGGAATCACAATCATTGGTACGGGTGTTCAGGCGACTGACTCACCCGGTGGACTCTCCGGAGTCGCATGGTCTGCATGGCCGAAGGATAACCTTTCTTTTACGGAAGCCTTTATCGCTGTGACGAACATCGTTTTCGCTTACAGTTTTGCCATGTGCCAGTTCTCTTTTATGGACGAGATGCACACTCCTCGAGACTTTATCAAATCGATCTGGGCGCTAGGTATCACCGAGATCATCATCTACACGGTGACTGGTGCCACGATCTATGCCTTTGTTGGCCAGGATGTGTCCAGCCCTGCACTCACCTCTGCTGGAACTACCCTTAGCCGCATTGCATACGGCGTTGCTCTCCCTGTCATCTTCATCAGTGGTTCGATCAATACCGTGGTTTTTGGGCGTTTGGTTCATGGCCGTATCTTCGCCAACTCCCCCATACGCTTCATCAACACCAAGATGGGATGGTTGACATGGCTGGCAGTGATCACAGCCGCTACAATTGCGGCATTCATCATTGCCGAGGTGATTCCCTTTTTCAACGATTTGCTTTCAATCTCCTCTGCTCTTTTCATCTCCGGATTTACCTTCTACTTCCCTGCTATGATGTGGTTCCTGCTCCTCCGGAAAGGCAGTTGGAATGAGAACAATAACTTGGTCCTGGCAGCCGTCAACGCAGTGATTTTCTTGATCGGTATGGTGGTGCTTGTCGGCGGAACCTACTCCAGCATTGATGACATCGTAAGTTTTTTTTTTTTTTCCCCTATGAGAGTCTATCTTGTGGCCGGAAATGTGTTGCTAACTCCTCAACTAGGTCCTCAAGTACGACAGAGGAGAAGTTCGTGGTGTCTTCTCGTGCGCTGCCCCCGAGTAAGGCCTTTTGCTTTGTTATTTTGTTAGCATATTCCAACATGCGTTATGAGCGTGCTCAAGCTGGTGCTTGCACAGAAATATTACCTATTACCTTCAATCCTGGTTTGGTTCGAGATCTGGAAATTCATCTCTAGGCGTTGTATCTTCATGGTTCATGAAACTGTTGAGGCAAGAAGCGAAATCTGTTTATGTATTATAGTATTCATCTTATTCAATAATCATGATAAGCCATGGTACTTCTTTCCCAGATGGACAGCACTTCGTATTCAGTATTCCCAACAATCGTAATGCACTCCGCCCCTGGAAGCAAATGATTTTTTTGCAAAGGAGAAATGGGGAGCCACTCCCGTGCTATTTATAGATCCTCGTCAAGAGACCCGCCAAGAGAAGTGAAATGCCCCAAACTTGGGCACGAAAACCGGTTTAAACACCCCGTCACCTATTAATGTATGGTATGTCTCTCCGGTGCAAAAATATTATTGGGCACTGATTGGCCTGGATTCGGATATCGTGGGTACTGGTACAAGAGAAACTCACAGAAATGTGGGGAGCAATGAAGTCATGTAGGGAGTTACTTTGCTGAGGGTGTTCAAGCTGAGAATTGACATGAAAATGAAATGCAAATCATTCAAGAAGGGCTTTCTCCTATACGTGATAAATAAGTCATGATCTGGGATATTCTTCGGAGACAGGGCATTCTGCAACGAGTGCTCCGTATGTTGTTCAACATAATCAGGGATAAGACATTAATAGAACAATCTGAGAGATCCACAAGATTGCCCCACAAAACAGTCACGCTGATGTCAATTTGCGGGATATCGATGCTGTACGGAGGACTCCACAGTCAGATGTATGTTGTTAGTCCGTTGGCATTTGAGAATAGTCTCCATAGCTGAGACATCCGTTTTCGCCGACGGCAGTGGCGCTCCAAAGTATAAGAAGGGGCACTTCAACTTCAATCCAAGAACTCTCAACTACCATTCCTCTCAAATCATTCTTACAACTTCTCAACCCAATCTTCTCCTCTCCATTCACCGCCAGTATGCAGCTCAAGAACCTCGCCATTGCTGCCTCCGTCAGCGCCGTTGTCTCGGCCGCTCCTTCCACTCAGTCCAAGACCTTTGGTGTCGTGGCTATTCACTCTGGTAGTGGCGTACAGTACTCTGCCTTCAACGCCGCTGAGAGCAGCATCTTTGCTGGTCTGCCTAACCAGGGTGCCAGTTGTGATCGCCCCGAGGAGCAGCAGGCTACCTTCTACATCTATGACGGTGCTCTGTACCTCTATGACCACTCCGCCACTCCCCAGGAGATTTACGTTGATCGCTCTGGCATGGGTATGTCATCACTCTCGCAATCGCACTCTTTACGTTGGCAAATAACTGATTTTGATATTACAGGTCAGGGTAGGATTGGTTACACCACTGGTGCTCAGCCCGCTCCTCAAAACTCTGAGCGCAAGGGCTGGACCGAGAAGGATGGCCACCTTCAGTTTGCAGGAAATGATCTGATTGCTTGCCCCAACAGCATTGGTGGTGCCTGGAGTATCTGGGCCTCTGCTGGCGTTGCCAACCCTGCCGGCAACGCCGACTGCGTGGGCATTGCCGCTCGTGTTGTTGAGACCACGAACCCCAATGGCTGCAGCTACACTTCTTAGATTTCCCTATGGAGCATCTGTTGGTGAATTTGTCTAATACCTTTACTTCTTTGTTGAGACAGATGATCTGTCTTGATATCTTGATGTCTGACTTGTCCGGGTTTTACATCGCTCTTTAGCTAGCCTTTGTTTGTAGAGAATTAATTCTTCTTCTCTATGATTTGCTGTTCTGTCACTTCTTACAAGTGTGGCTTTATGCCTACAGCGCCCCTAGATTCGTTGACGCTTGAACATTGAGCCGTGCTACTTCGATCATCAGGCGACTCTTAACTCACCAACTCGACTTGTAGGGCGATTGAGACTTGATGTGAGGTATAATGGTACAACATAGGCTACAATCACCTTGGCCAATTAGCTCAACCAAATATACATCTGTGGAGATGGGCGGAGCTCAGGCGGTTTCCCGACGGGACCAGGTTGCTTAGTCGAGATAAGCTTTTTTACCCTTTCCCGTGTCCCGTTTCTCTTCCCCAACCTCTGTGCCAGTTTCTTTTTGAATGATCAACGAAGCTTATACAGATGAAAATGGTAGTGCTTCGAAGGAGTCGGAGGCAACTTACTGGGATCATATGCGAACTCTATGTTCTTTGAATTCCCGATTATCGTTTTTGGGAGTTGGCGCCTTTACCCTGAGTGGCCAATATGCTACGGAGAGCAAGACTTGAAGTCGATTTTCTGGGCTAGAATTCTATGACTTCCTAAGAGTGATTATCATTCTGGTAACCACGGCTGACATGCTGTTTAGCCTCCTCTGTTACTCCATAGCTTTTTTTTTTGAGGGTGATAACCCAGTCGATTGACACGCTGCTGGTCTCAGGGAGTCGCTACTACTACCTGCTCTTATTATTCTCTCCCAAAACCTTGAAAAAGCTCAACATGACGAAGGGCCTGTCCTCTGTCTTTCGTCATCTTTCCAACTATCTACGGCATTAATTCTTGCAAATCTCCAAATTCAATCTCCACGGCGACCAGACATTTTCTCCCCAGAAGGACGACCCATAGTGCATTGGGTGTGGTTTGCTTCTGCTAGAAATAAACCCAGTCTGCTTAACCAAGTCTTGAACACACAAGTCCATCCTCACAAGCTGTTTGGCAACAGCTTCTCTATTTTGTTGCTCGCAATTAAGCAAGAGCTACGCCATGGCCCGGAAGCTTGACTTGCAACAAATCTGATCAGAAAGCCTAAGTTAATCACTCCCGAGAAGCTACATCTGTTGTCGATAATGAGACGGACTTGTGGATTCAAGACACGATTTGAAACGAGTTTAATCGCACTTTGATTGTGGTTGCTCATTAATTGAGAACAATTGCGTCTTTTGATAGTGTGATGGTCATCGACAATGGGCGTGTTGGGGACAGTGAAACTTCAGCAGAGCTTTTGAGAGCTAACGGATTGTTCTATGATCTCGTTCAACAGAGTCAAGACAAGGAAGTTGTGACCAAATCTGCCTTGAACGAATGCAACATAACACCTTGCGGCAGTAAGCCAAACCGTATTTTTTATAAGTACTAATTGCACACTGTAAGACCCGCCGATCTCCTCGAAGGGGGGTACGTGGGATAAATGTGGAATGGGGAATTAGAGATGACAAGGGATACAATAATCGCCCTAGCAAAGACACTGTCCTCTGGTCGTGAATGTGAGATTGGGTTGATTGTTTGATCAAAGCTTTAAGAACTCTAGTTACTCGGCCCCTTTGTTCAAAAGTCGATGGGATGTCGTTGTCTGGATGAATTCTAACCCAGCTTGACAGAGAAGATCTATATCCTTTAGTTCTCGCAGAGCCTCGCCGATTTCAACAAAATTATTATCAAAGCTGGCGTCCGCTCCTTTCTGGTTGATGAAGAACTCCCCACCGATAAAAAGGGGTACCGATATAAAAGGATGAATCTTTTAGATAGTTCAAAAATTGTCAGTAAAAGCGCCAAGGTGAATAGAAGTCATCAGCAACCTGCCTTGAGAAAACTAAGCTGGGACAGATATTGGGAGAGCCGCGCTATCTCCTGAGCCGCCGTTGAAGCCCTGTGTTCACACTGTGCCAACAGATCGCCGTAATCATGGGCCTGCCATGGGATAAGTTCTGTTGCTGCCCTCAGTTGCAGGACAGCCGCCTGCGCGATCATCCTCGTAAAAAGTAACAGAGGGTCCATCCAATCAAGTTTTGGCACAAGGTGATACAACTGAATCCGCTGTAGGAGCAAGTTGTCGAGCCATACATGGCGATCCCAAAACTCGGTAATCGGGCTGCCACACGCCTGCCCGACACTGGACTGCTTCCGATGGCTCAGCACTCGCCCCCACAGCGTGCTGAAAATTATACACTCGCCAAATGGGGTCTGGATTGTGAGGTCACTCGTGCACATCATGACATCAGATAGGAATGGGGATAAGGATGGGGTTCCAGTTTGAAAATCCACTTCTGAGGAAGGTAGTCGTGTGGTGATCTACAGCTTTTAGTCAATCAGTGATTGTTAAGGGGAGATGAACCGGGATTCAATCTACTGACAGTGTGTTCGTCCACTGTAAGTGCCGAATTGCTTAGAATGCAGAACAAGCGATCGAGACAGTACGCCATCCAGAACGTTCGTCGCTTTTCTTCCGTTTCAGTGACGGTGTAAAAAGTACCCGAAACGTCAGGTAAATGCTCAAGCGAGTCAATTCCATTCCATTTGAGGAGTTGCACTAGGCGAAGCGCTCGGCCTGTACTCGCCCAAGTACGTCGGAATGACTTTTCCATGAATTCATAAACGGCGACTAGAATCCACGCCTGGGCTTGCTGGGTGTAAAAAGCATCTTCTTGGTGGTATTCCTCACTCTCCAGTGTTTCGAGCATCTGCCGTGTGTCATGGTATAGGCCATCTCGCATGTGTTGAAATTGTGGGGAGAGCGACGCTGCCACAGTCCACACTGCATACTTTAGACATAGGTGTGATCCTGACGGCGAACACTGCTTTGCCCAGGAGAAATAGTAACCCTGTTGCAGAATAGGAATAAAGGGATAGACGCGATCGAAGTAAAGTTGATTTCTGATCCACCAGTCAGTCATAATCTGGCAGCAAGGGGGACTTGAATAATGAAAGGTTTTGGCTCATACAGCTCTGCTTGGGTCAATTTGGGAATTGTGCCACTGGTTGTGCTAGCCAGAAGTGCCTCCGGGGAGGACGTGACATTGGGCGCCGTCATTGTGAGGAGAGGAATTGAGTCTTCGGTGAGATCAAGCTCGATCTCGGTCACGCTTTGTTGCACTTCATCGTCTGGATTGAGATTCAACCCTATCTCATCTAGTGGATCACCTTGTGCACGCAGACGTCTTTCCAATAGTGCTGTGCGAATCACAAAACTATGAGTAGAGTTCTCCACCAACACACTAAGAAACATGGACGAGATACCAATTCTGGACCGCAGGTCCTTCAGATGTCCTCGCTTGGGTCCGCGCGATGGGCGGTCTGTGTTGATGTGACAGCGCACTCCGGAATTCACGCACGCACCGCAGGGCCTTTTCCTGTCGCATCTCAGTTTCTTTCGTTGGCATTCCTGGCAAGCCAAACCTGGCTCTTGCCGGGGACGCAATGTGCTCATCTTGCTATCGATATCTGGTATCACCACTTTCCTCCAGCGCTAAGAGGTTCTTAAACAAGCTCTGATCGAGCAGCTACGATCCTTGTACGTGGCAAATCTCGCAAATAAGTAGCCGACAAAGATTACTCCTTGAGCGTTTCATCTCGCCCGCACGGATTGTGCTCCTGCGAATGAAAGGGTCAGCAGTTCGAATTCCGGGTAAGCCGAACGTCTATCGAATCTCTGTACCAATTTTCTCTTTGGCAGAGTTTCAAGGAGACCTCAAATGATGATATTGCCCTAGATAGCCTGGGGGCCATTTTGCAACATAACAACCAATCCGAGAAAATGAGAAACACACCCCATTGGTGGTTACCATGCAGATAGCAAAATTCCAACCTGATCCATACACAATGAATCACCTTGAAGGGCACTAAAATCTTACGGGTACCGCATGGTGAAATTTGAACCCATGCAACTGGAATCCAACCTGCATACTGCATATGCAAGTTTAGTGGCTCCATGGAAAGTCCAACTCTTTCCAACCAGCATAGCTCATATTTTAACTATTTCCAGTAGGTGCCGCTACGCAGAACGTTACACTGCATCATCTTACGCGCATCGAATACATTTGCATGAACATGAGGATCTCAATCAAACTTGGCGACGGGCTAGGCCATAGATAGAGGAGTCTTGGCTTTTGTTACGGTTGAGTGATCAAAATCGCCTGTATTTCTTTCTCGCAGTCTCAGCCCTCGCATGAACCAAATGATTCAGGCCCTTGGCATTGGGTCCAGTTTCCATCTTCGCCCCCCGTCAAGAAGTTGCTGCGATCATGCATGCCTGCATGTGGATTGGCTCGCATGTTGACAAATTTCCCGCAGTAGCAACCTGCAAATCACCTCAGCAGTCCAGCTGGAAGGGGGTTTCACATGGAAGCGACTCCCCTGTACATCCTGACAAAGCTGTGGGAATTGCCTTCAACCCCCTCTGTGAAACGTTCGTTTGACTCTGTTCGGTCTAGTCTTATCCAGACTCTTCCTTAACAGCCACCCATACCTTCCATTCTGCCAAACTTCGTATGGTCTAGGTTCCGCAACATCCGGGGCAACTCTCAAAAGAAAGTCCGAGAAGCTGCAGGTAAGCCCAATACGCGATTAGCTGCTTTTGCAAGGAGTACTCCGTACAAGTTTTCCCAATAAGCGGGGTATGTCAATTTCAATCAGAAGATCCCAACTCCTACATAATCATGGCTCCGATCTGATTAGACATGGTCTAGATTCCGTATACTACCTCTATAAATACATCAATTCATCTATCTAGCTATCTGGAGCTCAGGCGAGGAATCACTTGCGGGGACCACAAGGGCAGTACTCGGCACCCATTTTTTTAGGGCCTCGAAAGTTAGTCATCACGACCTACTCCGCATATCTTAGCAACTGATTCTCAAGCTATTTCTAATATAGATCCTCTCCACACTCCAGATCAGGTTAATCTCTAATCTCTACTTACATATATCTACCTGTTATGCATAGCGGAAATGTTCAAGCAAGACAAAAGACGGGAAGATGTTGAATGAGAAAAAAAATGCAAAAGACCCCACGATCATCACGTACTTCGGCCAACTTGGATGAACGACTCAATAATTAGATTAATGTGTATTCTACTCCGTAGAGTATCTGTTATGGTCGCCCTTTAAAACCCCCCCCGCGGATTTCGGGGAAACTGGGGGAAGGGTGATTCAGGCGAGAGAAGGTCAACCCCGGCACATTCGATTGTTCCAGCAAATTGAATCGGCATTCGGGATCCGACCTGCCACTTTGACCAGCGATCGTAAATCTAGACTCTGGACACGGTACCGAAGCCCGAAACACTGTCACGGTGCTCTTGAAGCTACGAACTCTCTCTCCCCCCTCCCACAACATGCAGTTTCACTTTTCTTGATACTAAGCTGTGATATGCAACCTGTTTCCTTCGTGATCAAGTCTTCACATATCAACTATGCCACCCAATCGAGCAGCCTGGTTAACAGCTAAATCCGTGCGACCACTGGAGGTCAAAACCGCTCCCTACACGTCACCTGCGACCAACGAGATTGTCATTAAGAATGGTGCGATTGCCATCAACCCGGTAGAATGGTCCAAGCAGCTTGTTGGAGACTTGATGTTCACATGGATCAAATACCCGTTCGTTCTCGGCAACGACCTTGCCGGCGAGGTTGTCGAAGTTGGCTCGGGAGTCACACGCTTCAAGCCCGGTGACCGCATCCTGGGCCACGCACTCTCGATGGATCCCAATGTGAATAAAAATTCCGAGGGCTCGTTTCAGGAGTATACTGTTGTGCGTGCGAACATGGCATCACCGATCCCGGATACCCTCTCCTACGAGGAAGCCTGTGTCCTTCCCTTGGGACTGTCCACAGCCGCCTGCGCTTTGTTTCAAACGGACACCCTCGCACTGAACTATCCCGATGCGTCGGTGACTGCGTTAGGCAATTCCAAGAAGACCGAAAACGAAGTGCTCGTGATCTGGGGAGGATCTAGCAGTGTTGGATGCAATGCCATCCAGCTTGCCACCGCAGCGGGATACGATGTCCTCACCACCGCATCTCCAAAGAACTTCGAATTTGTCATCAGTCTAGGTGCCACTCAGGTATTCGACTACCGCAGTAAGACTGTTATTACGGATATCCTGAAGGCATTGGAAGGGAAGAAATCCGTCGGTGCGATCGCCATCGGGAACGGCTCCACGGAGGCGTGCATGGAGATTCTTTCCAAAACCAGTGGATCGAAATTTATTGCTCAGATCAGTTTCCCATGGCCGGAGAAGATTCCAACTACCACTTTGGCCCTTTTCGGTGCTATGATGGGACTTTTGTGGTGGAATCTGAGCATTTTTATCACCTCAAGGTTGAAGGGCGTGACGGCAAAATTCGTCTTTGGGAGCAGCTTGTACAATAATGAAGTGGGTGGGATCATCTACGACGATTTTCTGCCGGTGGCGTTGGCGCAGGGAAGCTATGTGGCGGCTCCCAAACCCTTGGTGGTGGGCAAGGGATTAGAGAAGATCCAGGAGGCTATGGATTTCCATATGAAGGGGGTTTCTGCTAAGAAGGTGGTTGTTTCCCTTTAGTCTTTTGTAGATGTGACTCTTTCAAATCTTTAATCGCCTTGAATCATCGCCAGAAATTAATGGAAGTCGCAATAGATTGAGATATCTAATGTTTCTCGAAGAGACCTTGAACATGTATTCAATGGGGGCACCCTTCATTCTATTACCTCTTAAAAATTCACCAGAGAATGAAGATGGATAGGCAAGAAGAGCTACCACATAGGCACAAGAACTATTCCGAATAAGCCCAGTCTATCCGTTGGCTACGATCATTCCTCGGTGTTGAGTCACCGACATGCCGTCTCAAATTTCAACTCCGGCTGTGTTCCAGAAGGGGAACGGGGTCCGAAATCCGGCCTCAGAATCGGCCAGGCTACGGGAATATATGTAGACCATTACAGAGGATGGTAGACAAGTAAGAACGAAAAAAGAATTGACCATCGCTCCCGATTCCTCATTTCGACTTGTTCTTCCTCCATATACAATGAGACCGACACCAATCAACAAAGCAGCATGGCTGGTGGCTCCCAAGACCCCCCTGGTCGTTGGACCTGCAGAGTACACTCCCCCCGACGCTAAGCAAGTTGTTGTCAAAAATGCTGCGGTGGCAGTCAATCCGCTCGACTGGGCAAAACAACACGTCGGCGACAAAAAATGGGAATGGATCACCCACCCATTCATCATTGGCCAAGACATTGCCGGCGAGGTCGTTGAGATCGGATCTGAAGTAACCCGCTTCAAAGTCGGTGACCGAGTCATCGCTCACGCAGTGGGCTTCTACCTTTACGGGAACCGGGCCGCCGAGGGCGGGTTTCAGCATTACACGATCGCACGCGAACATATGGCGAGTCCCATTCCCGAGGAGCTGTCCTTTGCGAAGGCATGTGTGATCCCCATGTGTTGTTCCGCTGCCTCGTGTGCGCTCTACCAGAAGGGCTATCTTGCCCTTGATTACCCTACTATTCCCGCGCAGCCGGTGAACGGAGAACTTATTCTCATCACGGGTGGTTCGACAGCCGTGGGGAGTAATGCGATTCAGCTTGCCAAATTCAGCGGGTACACGGTGGTGACGACGTGTTCAGAAAAGAACTTCGCTCATGCAAAAAGCCTCGGCGCAGACTTGGTCTTCGATTATAATAGTCCCACCCACGAGGCGGATATCACGGCAGTTTTGCAAGGCAAGAAGGTCGCTGGGGCATTTGCCGTCGGGCCCGGTTCGGTGGAGTTGTGTATTCATGTGCTGGGTCAGCTGGGCGATGAATGTCGCAAGTTTGTTGTCAAAGCCAGCTTCCCATGGCCCAAGGACGACCCGAAGGATGACGAGGAGTATTGGGCTTATATGAAGTGGGTGGATGAGTGGAATCAGGGGATCATGGCCATGGCGAATGAGGTCGGAATAGAGACAAAGTATGTAGAAGGTGCAGAACTGGGCAGAAATGAGGTCAGTCAAGCAATTTATGTGGATTTTCTGCCTACAGCCCTGGCACGGGGATTGTATATGGCTGCCCCAGAACCGCAGGTTGTTGGGCATGGGTTGGACAGCATTCAACAGGCTCTTGAGATTCAGAAGAAGGGGGTCAGCGCAAAGAAGGTGGTTGTGAACTTGGAGGAGTAGGAGAAATGAAGCTGCACTCAACACATATATCCCAAACACCCAGCACCTTCGTAGCAAAAGACACGCTCCAGAGAGATCCTCCACAATGACAGATGATTGAAGGAACTGAGTTGAGGATACACGCAAAGTTATCTTAGAATAGAGTAAGTATAATTCCCGTAAAGATGTGAATGAAACTTTCCCAAGCAGCCATCTATCCTGTTTCCAACTCGTCCGCTCTAGCATAGCTACCGGCGACGAGTCTCATGTTTTTCGCCAAGACATTAAGGTGTCGCTGGATCCTCGTCCTTTGCCCTATGTTTTCTAATATCCTGCCATCCCATTCCCCAGGCAAAACAGAATGCCGCTGCTGCAGACGCACAAACCAGGTAGAACACATGGTCAACACTCTCGCTATACGCCTTCAAGACACCGACCAACTCATCTGCAGAAACGACACCCCGAAAGCCGGTCGCGCCAGCAGCGATGATAGCGCTCGCATCTACACTTGGTGCATAGTGTGCGATCGCAATAGGGAGACTTTGGCTGAAGTCTGTTTCGGCGAAGGTGAGAAACGTAGCCCCACCGAAGTTCAAAGAAAAGACGAGGATTGCCATGGCCACCGAGATTTGGGTGTGCGGAACTAGATTCTGGACGGCGACGAAGGGCTAGATCGATCAACAGGCTGTTAGCAAGGGACTCAGCCGTAGAGAACAAAAAGAGGATTAAGGATTTACCATCGCCGCAGCACTACCCAGGCCTGCACCAGCCAATATCTGGAATCCAACACGGTTTGCAGTTTTGTATGTTGGTGTGAGCATCGTGAGCAGTCCATATCCAATACTCGCTAATGCGGTTCCTCCAACAACCCATGGCAGGTAAAAGCCGAATCTCTGGACTATAACTCGGAGTGTCAACAACCCGTACCCCACGTAGCCCAATGATCGTCAGGGTAGCCGGGGGAGAGAATCATTACCCATTATTCCCGATAACATAGCCATGGTGATCTGCAGCAGAATATTGGGCAGATAATAAACACCGCTCATGATCGGTGATGCTCCATGCACCGCCTGGAAATAAATCGGCAAATAGTACGCGCCACACGTCAACACACCCGTGATAAAAAACATAGTCAGGCAGCTCGACCAGATGATCCGCTTTCTTAGCATTGAAAGTGGAATCATGGCATTATCGCCGCGATAGTACTCCCAGCCCAGAAACACTAGAAACGTTATTCCTGCGCCAACGAGTAGGCCAATCACCGTGGGACTGCCCCAGGCGTATTGACTCCCACCATATTGAAGGGCAAGGAAGAACATGATTGCGGCAGGGGCAAAGATGCTGAAGCCAAGAATATCGAGTGTTGTGAAAACAGTGCGGAGAAGGGTTCGCAGGTCAGGCTTTGCGAAGCGGTCGGGTATGTCAAGGGTAGCAAGGAGGGCGAGGACGACACCGCCGATAGGGAGGTTGATGTAGAAACACCTATTTTTAGGGGATCTCTGTCAGTCACCAATCGGATTCAGGTTTCGAGAAGAATAGAAACGAACCAGCGCCATGTCACTTTTTCTGTAAACGCCCCTCCAATAAGGGGGCCCAGAGCTTGACCCAACTGTCCAACTAGATTGATGATTTAGACGCAGTAGTGATGTTATGACGGGATGCTTACTGGAAATGATCATTCCCATGGCTGCTGGACGTTTATGCTTGGGCAAACAGGCGGAAATCATCGTCAGCCCTCCATTTAGCAGACCCGAACCACCTAGACCAGCAATTGCACGTGCTACAATCAACATCTTGGAAGATTGAGCAATGGCGCAAAGTAGCGATCCAAGTTCAAAAACGAAGAAGAAGGCGAAGAATGTCCACTGGGATCTGTTAGTGATAGTCTGCTGAATGTTGCATGTAAACTGCTCACCTTGATCCGCAAGTAGGTGTATAGCTTGCCGGTTAAAGGTTGAAGAGCAGCACTGCCAATTCTCTCAACTTTCTGTGTCCAAGTCCTTCGTTGATCCTAAACCCACCTGGCCAATTGGTATGCGCTTCCATACCAACCCACATCAAGAAGAGAATGAAACTCATCCGTGATATACGGAACGGCCTGAAAGATGTTTAGTATGCCACCATACTCTGACAACCATTGGAGTCTGGATATATACCGTAGCAATAATAGATTGATCCAGCATCATAACAAACTGGACAAGAGTTCCCGAAATCAAAATCGCCCACAGCTTGAATCCTGTGATGTATTCTCCATCTTCCTCGTCATTGGCATGGATATTATCTCCCTGTGGAGGCTTCTCGGATTCTGTTTCCACCATGGTAGTAGGAATGTCAAGAGAAGAGACCTTTGTCGTAGTCGTTGCCATGGTAAGTGATGATTGCTCTTGCCCTCTATTGATGATATTAGCATACGTCTGAAAACCCAACACAGAAATATACACATCAACTGTGATCACCCCTTCTCCGCCCCAGAGGAGTCGGGGTCGGCACACCGAATACCGACCCCGAGCGGTAGGACAGTACAGTAAACTCCGATCCGGAGTTGCCGAGTGTTGATTATGCTCAATCTATAGCAATCCCAGATTCATTTTCCGTTTCCTTTAGGGCCAGGATATTATAACCCAAAGGATGATCAATGGTGAGTCCTGCATGCGTGCAGGAAGTTAAAGGGGGAAATAACATTGTGGAATAGCTTATAAAATATCCATCCAGACTCCGAATTCCAATTAAATCGTAACCCCTAAGCAAAAGCAGTCAGAGAAATTCATTCCCTAAGAGTACATTAAAGCTATCCCTCCACCAAGCGTCTTCGAGAAACAATGCTTCGAGCTGCGTGCCACTGCTTGCATCCGGTTGGAAGCCAGTATTCCGGGCATGTACGCCTTCGACACCACCTTCCGCCAGTTTTGCTGCACACCAAGTTCTAACCGACGTGAAAATCCCCGTCGATTTATCCAACGGCCCCCCCCTACACTCTTCGCCATCCGCCGATTTGGCATGCTGGATATTGTTGATCAATTGGTCAATCACTTGCAAGACGTCCACCGTTGACCGTGCCAGGTTGTTATCCCAGCTAGGGTCGTTCAGAGTTGATAGCTTCGACAGGACAATGAGGTAGCGAGCAAGCTGAGTAAAGAACGGAAAGGAAAGGCCAGAGTATTCGACAAGCGGAATCTTGAAGAAATTTTCAAAGGCCAGTTTGACCGTGTTGAGACATGTGTAGAGATAGCCAATTCGTTGAAAACCAGGGCCCGACACATTTTGCTTAGACAATGCCAGGCCGCACATGCTTAATTCGGTGTAATGTATGGAAGCTAGGAGTGGCGCTTTTTGATAGTTAGGACTCTCGTCATTTTTCAGGCGGGTATCTGGTCACATGAACTCACCCTCTTGCTGCAAATGTGGTGAGATTTGTGCCTTGACTTCATTCACCTTGTTTTGAAGAGCGGTCAGATAGAAAGCTGTCGGGGATGTCGTTGTGCTTCTTACGCTTTCCACCTCCCCTGCAATGCGCTGCAGTCTAACCTGATGTGCAAACATCTCGTCGTAGGGAGATTCCGTACTTCGACTCAGGACATCCAGGCATTCTTCCATATATGGCGTCCACTGCATTGCATCGATCTGCGCAAAGTACGAGGAAACACTAAGAGAGTCAGAAAAATGACGCTTGCAAGGGCGAGAAACGAACGTTGAGCTCATTACGAAACACCCCAGAACAGCACGTCTCTCTTCGAGAGATCTAGCGAGACCGTTTGGGACCACGCAATGTCCCCCGACAGGAAGCATGTTGGGATCATCTGGAAGTGGCTTGTTGAGACGAAGGTCAAACACCAACGACATGGCCAGCTGGGTAAAACGCGACAACCTCGCCGCAGTACCGTGGAGTAGATGGTCATGGCCCCACGCGAGAAATGTCAATAGACCGAGTAGCAAATCGATGTTGATAGCGGCCGAGTCATTGTTCAGAAACATACGTTCTGTTAAGGTTTCCTTAATTCGTTCTCCAAGTTCAATCTTCGTCTGCGTCGATTGGGCAGACACAGCCATGATACAGAGGAACAAGAATGGTCGTTCTCGGCGGAGACATTGTGCATCGACGGGAATATGCAAAAAAGCGAAATGTTTGAGGGCGTGGGTACGAAAATCCGCTAAGCATTGTTCCGGCGACAGATCCAATGTTAGAGATGAGGGTACCGATGAGGCTCCACTTGTAGTGGAGAGAGGGGAGATGGCAATGGAGGTGGAGGCAGGTGGGGTGAGATGATCAACACCTAAATTGGAGGCATTGTTCAACGCGACTGGCCCGCCACCCAAGAGCTGGACAATGCCATCGAGTTTTTCTTCCAAGCGGGCGATACGAGGGATGGGGTTGTTCTTTTGAGCGTTCGGAACACGACTCGAGTCGCCAGGCAGGCAGGGTTTCTTTAAACGATAACATCTCTCGCAGCCCTGACCACCGGGTCTTGTAACACATTTACATTTAGATTGGGAACAGTTCGCACAAGCCTGACTTAACTGTCAGCCACTCTATCCGAAAGCACTATGACGGGATGTGAGGGGGTAAGAGAGGAAAGGGTGAGGACTTGCCCGTCCGTACCGCTGGAGGGCGGGAGTGCGATCGGGCGGCATCTTCAGCTAGATCCACACTGAAACGATGTTGTGTTTTTTTTTTGTTTGGCACGACAGAGCGTCATACGGCATCCGGGGCCGATAGGGAGAGTAAGAGTATAAAGCACTTCTGTGACAGAAGAAAGTGTGATCCCAGTCCCTGCCCGTGACCTAGACCGGAGTTCGGAGACCGAATACCGAGATTGTGACAGGATTCCGGAATCGGACACTTGGGCTATTTTTGTTTGTCTGTGACCAGCAGAACTCGATCGTCTTTGAAAAGATGGAGTTTAGATTTTGATCTTACAATAGCTGTATCAATCCAAGGGATCGAAAGTCATTGAATTGGGTTTACTTGAGGTCTTCAACATATCTATCTCCATCAAGCCTGTCCAGCATGGCAGGTAGTATCGGGCCGGCCATCCACCAAATTATCTCCTTGGTTCCCATCTGGTTCATGGTGGCTTGGGGAACAATCGTGACTGTCGTCTTAATCCTATTCCGGGCCTACAAAGACCCGCTGTCTAAAATTCCAGGTCCAATCTTCTCGCGATGGACCGGAATAGTGGAAACCTCGTACTATGTCCGCGGGCATAGACATGACTACGTTCATAGTCTTCATCAGAAATACGGTTCGAACTTCTCCTGAGTGGAGCGGATGCTCAAATCTCATCGGAGCTGAGTTGACCATCCAATCGATAGGACCCATTGTTCGTTACGCTCCTGGTCACATCGACGTCTCCGACATTGATGCCGTGCGGATCATCCACAAAGTCAACAAAGGATATCGCAAGTCGGGTTGGTACCTCTCATTGGCTCCTCCGGGAGTCGAGACGCTTATGAACCTCATCAACCCCACTGTCCATACCCGTTGGCGTCGTTTGCTGGGTGGTCCATTCCAAGACAACTATCTTCAGAAACTAGAGCCTGTAGTTGCAGAAAAAATGGCCATAGCGCTCTCCAAGATGGAAGAGGAGCTAGAACAGAGAGGTTGTATTGACGTTTTAAAATGGTGGATCTACATGGCACTCGACATCATCACCGAGCTAAGTTACGGCGCCAGTGTAAACATTTTGGCGGATGAGGAAGATAACCGGTATATCATGGACTATCTGGAGGGACTCGGTCCTATCCATGCAGTGAGAACCACGATGCCCTTTGTGATCACGATAGCCAACTGGCTCCGGTTCCCGATATTCAACAAGCTTCTCAACGCGGGACCCCGTGCGGCGATATGGGCGGTGGAGACAATCAAGGCATATAAGCAGCTACTTGCTGAGGAGAATCCCAAGCCGACCCTGTTCACTCCTCTCTTCGATAAAGGCGACAAGGGCTTTACAGATACCCAAATCACTCATCTTGCCGGATCAAATATCACTGCAGGCAGCCACACAACAGCCACCGTCATGACCTTCACAATCTGGGCCGTCTGCAAACATCCCGAAGTACGCGACAAACTCGTGGAGGAAGTCTCACAGCTACCAGAGGGATTCAAGCATAACGATGTGCGAAATCTTCCATATCTGAACTGTGTCATTCAGGAATCGGTCCGTCTCTATGCCGCCGTTCCTTCTGTGCTACCTCGGGCTGTTCCAGAAGGGGGCGTTGAGATCAGCGGCTATTTCATTCCCGAGGGGACAACAGTCTCCACGCAATGTTACAGCCTTCACCGGAGGGAAGATTATTTCCCCAAGGCTCTCCAGTTTAGTTCTTCCCTCTGGCCACTTGTGGCCTGTACACAACTCATGCTTTACTAACTCACTTTTTTAATATAGATTTGATCCCGAGCGCTGGGTACACCCAACCAAAGAGATGGAAGAGGCCTTCATGGGATTTGGCGCCGGCACTCGCTGTACGAGACCTTTGACTTGTTTTGCCGTGGCCCGCGTGGCATATGAGAACTAACAAATTTTCTAGCCTGCGTTGGCACTAACCTAGCACACACGGAACTGCGGCTCGGGGCGGCCCATTTTTTCCGCAAATTTCCGAAAGCCACGGTTTCGACCAAAGAGGGAATGACTGATGATGACATGAGGCAGAGGGCTTGGGTCTTCATGTCTCCAGTTGGTCATCGGTGCTTGATTGATGCTTGACGTTTTTGAGAGGAGTGGCTTTTTTTTTCTCCTACAACAACAAGATCAGAAGGCAACGGGCTGCAAGTTTGGATTATGCTAATTTCGGTTGGTACAGAATAACAGTGGGGCTGTTTTATATGAAAAAAAATTATTTGTAATTGCATAGTCGATTTTGGCTCTCTGTAGTATACTGCAATCTATCTTCTTTACAGTTATAAGAGAAGTGAGAGGTGAATATGGTAGATTTTAACATCGTGTACTTCAGCTCGACGACACGACATGTTTATTTTAGAGAATTACCAACTTTTGTTGAATTGTTTTAAAGTGCACCATTGAAGACAAAAGCTCAGGGTCTAATAGATGAGCGTTTGTAAAAAAAGATCCAACCAAAAAAATATGGAGGTGAATCGGGGTCCCCCCCCCCCCAAGGTTAAGAAAGATAGTTCGATAGTTCTCCTACGAGGAAGGCCAACAATCTCTCAAAGGGAAAACCCTTTATTTTAGGAAGCGTTAGAGTTACTTGAAAAGTGTGCTAGATTGGTTCATCGAGATGTTCATGAGAGTAATTACGAGAATTTAATTTCCTCATGGATCTCTCCATAGGATGATGATTCTCTCACTGCCCCACCGCTGTGACTATGCTACAACTATCCCTTCCACTAACTCTCGTTGAAAATAATTTCTTTGTCTTTTGAATCAGCCCATCAATATCATAATCCCAAATTTGGCGACATCGTGACTCGGCCTCAGCAAGGCCTTTAACAGTATCACTACCTATCTCTGGTACCTGCCACTCATACATCTCACCAATGAACCGACTGCTCTGGACAACCCATTGGGTACGTTCATGGCGTATATCCTGGTAGGTAGAGAGGGCAGCTTTCAATACCAAGTTTTTCCGAGCAACAGCATCAGATGACTTTTGCAGTATTGCTGCAGCATCCTCTAATGCGACTGCTATTGCCAGGGCATCTTCGATGGCACACCCGGCGCCGGCACCATGATGGGGAGCTGAGGCATGAGCGGCATCACCGATGAGACCGATGAACCCTTTTTCAGAGACATATGAAGTCACCGGGTTATCAAATAGGTCGAATATCCCCCACTTATCCAGCCTGTCATCCAGCATCTCCATGATCGCAGTCACGACAGGACCAAACCCGGAAAAGTAACAAAGTGCTTCATCCTTGGTGGCTGGTAGAGTGAATCGGTCCTTGCTCGGCCATTCCCCCGGATCGGTGACAAATGCCACAACATTGAGGATCGTGCCCATGGCAACGGGAAACGTGAGTACATGGCCATTCTGGCCCAGGTGCATATATCGCGTGGATGATTTATCTTCACCAAGAACTTCTCTTGCCCGCTGCATCGGAATAAGCCCACGAAAAGCAAACTTGTGACTGTAGGATGGCTGAGAGGCAGGATTGTTAACTCCGAGTATAAGCTGGCGGACTTTTGAGCGCAAGCCATCGCAGCCCAGCACGATATTAGCTTCTGCTACTGTGTCGTCACTAAAGTGCAGAATGGTTTTTTCATTCTCAATTCCGCCATCACCTCCTTCCGTTACAGCGATAATCTCCTTTTTGAACTCTATGCAATCCTCGGTGATCATTTCAGCGAGCCCGGCAAGGAAGTCGGACCGTCGACAACCCTCAAACCCTCGATTTCCTAGATAAATTTTGAACAGTAATTCCTCTCCGTCGCCATTCTGCGAGTTATTGAACCCATCGACGTATTGAAACCAGTCCTCCGTGTTCGGGGTAGCGAGTCTACGGAAGACCGTATGGATGCGCGGGTCCAAGCTCAGCATGGCTCGCTCGGCATTCGGAGACATGCCGATTCCGGCACCGATCTCGTGAAAGCATTCAGCTCGTTCGTAAAGTTTGACGGGGATTCCCCTTGAGAGGAGACCAAGGGCGACTGTCACGCCGGCGATTCCACCGCCGACGATAGCGACGTTGAAGGGGGCAGTTGAGGATGAACTCATGGTTGGGTTTCTTTTTCTAAATAGTTGAAAAAGACAACAGTTTTGATGAAGAAAACCTCGATTTAAATAGGTGATAAGACAGAAATCACGTTCTCGATGGTGTTGTCTGACAAGAACCGGAGTATCGCGATCGGAGTTTCTATTTCTAACCACCACACAACACGGACGCTCGCTGTTTGAATCACTTTTGATGGCATCGCATGGCCCCTCGCTATGAGAGGTTCCAAATGATTCCTATAAAGATAATGAATCAAAGTTGCACATTCGACAATCATTCCCTCTGATTCTCATCATTTTCCAAGATGTCGATTTACCAGGACATGATCGGTCAACTCCCCATTCTAAATACATATAACCATGGCACTCTGGGTTTCAAGCTAGACAGCGAGACTCCTCAAGACAGCATCATAGAAGCATTGAAGACTGCTGCTGACAAGCTCACAGCAAGCTTTCCATGGCTAGCCGGTGCCGTAATCAACGAGGGTCGTGAATCGGGCAATTCCGGACTGTTCAAGCCTCTTCCGTGGCCTCCAACAGCCACTTCTTCGAATAGCATCGTGCGCATTAAGGATTATAGAGAGAATCTTCCAGCCTTCGCGGATTTCGTCAAATCCGGGGCGCCGTGCTCAATGATCGATGGCAAGCTAATTGCCCCCTACCCTGGATTTCCGGTTAGTTATCAGGGCTCTCCCGAGAACCCGGCGCCGATTATCGCGATCCAGGCCAACTTTGTGCAGGGTGGACTGCTGCTGAATTTCTCCGCCCAGCACAATGTCATTGATGCCAGTGGCATGATGCAAGTCATCCAACTGTTTGCAACAGCCATGCGAGGAGACGAATACTCTCTCTCAGCTGTAGAGGAGGGCAATAGAGATCGAACACGGGTGATTCCCCTGATTGCCCCGGGCAACCCAATTAAGGATCACAATCATCTCAAGCTTCCAGAGGGTTTCACTCGACCCGTACCTTCCTCTGGGACCATGATGCCAAAATGGGCGTATTTCCTCTTGGACGGATTGGCCATTCCCGGCATCAAGGCCCTCGCCTCCAGTCCCGAGGGATATGACCCTGCAGTCCCTTATATTACCAGCAACGACGCGTTGAGCGCTTTCTACTGGAAGATCTTAGCCGGGGTACGCGTACGTAATGGCCGGTCGCCAGATGCTCTCTCCAAATTCGGGCGTGCCGTTGACTCTCGGCGGGCAATGGGTGTCTCACATGAGTATATGGGCCACATGGTATACCACTCCGGGACGCGGATGACCATGAAGGAGCTCGAGGAAGCTCATATCTCATCCATTGCCTGCAAACTGCGGAAAAGTCTCAACGACATCAATAACGAGTTCTCCGTCCGCAGCTACGCGACATACATCGCTAACCAACCTGACAAGACGCAGGTCATGTACGGAGGAATGTACAACCCAGACACTGACGTTGGCGCGTCGGCCGTACCTAACGCGGACTTCTTCCATTCATTTGGCTCTCTGCTCGGGGTGCCGCATTTTGCCCGACGTCCGAATCTTGCGCCAATTCCTGGTTGTATCTATTTCATGCCTGCGGAAGGTCAATTTGTGCCTGTTCTTGTGTGTTTGAGGGATGATGACTTGGAGGGGTTGAGGACGCATCAGGAGTGGAACAAAATTACCAAATATGTTGGTTAATGGTTTGTGTATAGTTTGAATTCTAGGTAAACTACATACCAAATTGGCAGTTAGATCTATCTGATTTTCAAATCATCACATTGTAATATTGGTTCATTGTGCGGATGTTGAGACCCTCTGGGAGTGTCTAGTGAGAATACTACCTATGACAAGTTCAAAATGTTCGATAAAATCATTGAATCAAGCTGGGATATTAGTTACCTCGCCGGGTCTTAAATTGAGATATCCATCAGGCGTCATTGTCCCTGAGCTCATCTCATCGATTGATCTGGCAAAGAAATCAAAGGAGATGTCGACCAATTACCATGTCCAGCCCTTAAGATATATAACCATATGTGAGACAGAACAACCACTTCAAAGACGGACCTCGACTGCAATCTTGTTACATTCTTTCTTATCACCTTAAATTCCGAATACATCGATATTTACTGGAGAGTGAAACATGCACTACAAACATTTCAATGTACAATTTGCGCTGGAAAGCAGGGTCATGTGACCCCGCTCTCGCTGAGATGTCAATCTCCTGCGAAGGGGGCCAGAGTGGGTGACTCCACACTAACCGGCCCGTACATTTTTTTTTTCAAAAAAATACGGACCCTCGCAAGCGAGGGTCTGCCACCTATTTGCAATACACCACCCAAATGCAAGTTTTTTTTTTACATTTTTCTTTTTTACTTTGATCGTCAACCACACCACCAAGAATGCCTAAAACCAATAAACACACAGAGAAATAGCTTCAGCTTGCTCTCGATTCTCTATCTAAGCAGACAAAGCCCAATATCACGAAAACTGCGCGAGAATTCGCGGTTCCTATACACCGACTACGCCGGCGATGGAAAGGTGGAAAATCCCTTTTTCAACGAGCACCTAATGGTAGGAAGCTCAATCCTAAACAAGAGCAGGCTTCATGTGATTATATTGATTACTTTGACACGGTCGGAGTATCGATAAACCGACGCCAAATTGCTATTGCTACCGATTCAATTCTTGAGAATGACCATACCGATCCCACAGAGTCAAAACGCGTCCATGAATTAGCACTTAATTGATTCAACCATCCACCATGCCACCAATACGCTCTCGAAGCTCTTAAACCCCAACAGAGCAAGAGGGTAGGATCTTGTTAGCTATACAAGCTATAAAAAAACAAGAAATTACCTCTATTCGGAAAGCAGCACGGGTATTCAAAGTGCCAAATTCAACCCTTTCTACGCGTCTTCTTGGCATTCAGAATCGCGCAAATTCTCATAAAGTAAGTGAGATTGAAGAGGAATCACTTGAAAAATGGATATTCTCTATGGACGCTCGTGGTTCAGCTCCACGACCTTCAATGGTGCAAGAAATGGCGAATGTTCTACTTTCGCATCGCGGAATCAACCCATCATCTACAGTCGGCAAAAATTGCGTCACTAATTACATTAAACGACATCCCAATCTATCCTCGAGATTCTCCAGACGTTACAATTACGAACGTGCTAAATGTGAAGATCCAAAAATCATTGGTGAATGGTTTACACTTGTTCAAAAAACGATTCTTCAATACGGCATTGACAACGATGACATTTATAACTTCGACGAGACTGGTTTTGCAATGGGGATTAACCGCAACTGCTAAAGTCATTACGAGATCTGAATACTACGGTCGGCGATCACTTTTACAACCTGGAAATTGCGAATGGGTGACTGCAATTGAATGTACAAATGCTTCAGGTTGGGCACTACCTCCACGCATTATTTTCAAAGGCAAAGTATTCATTGAATCTTGGTTCGACAATCTTCTAAATGATTGGCGCTTTGAAGTCAGTCCTAATAGATGGACCTCTGATGAAATTGGCCTTCGATGGCTTGAAAAACTATGCATTCCATCGACTTATTCACGGACAAAAGGTCAATATCGACTTTTGATACTTGACGGACATGGAAGTCATTTGACCCCGAAATTCGATGAACTTTGCGAAAAAAAAAACAATATCATTCCAATCTATATGCCTACACATTCATCTCATCTTTTATAGCCACTTGATATTGGTTGTTTTGCGGTATTAAAACGCTCTTCCGGTAAACTTGTTGAAAAGAAAATGCGTCTTGGCGTCAACCATATCGACAAACTTGATTTTCTTGAAGCATATCCAGTTGCACGACTTGAAGCTTTCAAATCAGATACTATTCAAAACAGCTTTACAGCTACTAGTTTAGCTCCTCTTTATCCAGATCGAGTGTTATCTAAGCTTAATATTCAACTTCGAACTCCGACTTGTCACGGTGCGAACCGTGATGCTTAGTTAGAGGAAGATCACGGCACGTGATCTCCGACCTGTTTATCTGAACTTCAGTTCTAGGTCCTGTTGTAGCTCTTCGAGCTACGTCTTGTATAATAGTCTGCCCCTGCCTGTACCTGTTAATGGGAATCTGATCTGTTACGACCTGTTCCTACCAGTCATCTCCTTTCATACCGTCCTGCCAGCCCGCACCCTGACACGACTCCCCCATCAAGTCGAGGTAGTGAATGGGAGCCAAAAACACCAGCAAATCACATTCAATTATTGAAATAAGTATCCTCAATCAAAGCATTACTTCGTTAAAGATCCCGAAGCCCGCTAAGTCCACTCAATTTAGCGATAAACCAGGTTTTGAAAGCTTGCCAAATAACGATGCAATCAGCAGCGATTCTTAAGAAAGAAGTTCACGATCTACGATCGGAAAACGAGAAAAAGAAGCAGAAAAAAAAATTAGAACTCG